GTGTATGTTCTAAAAACTTGTAGTTGGTGGTGGAGACCACTACCTGCTAGCGTGCTGTCGTAAGTGACTGATCTCACCAATAAAAAGCCGGGGTTCAAGGCGATTCCGTCTTCCCTGTGGCTCCTGGTAAGACATTCTCGCCATTAGTAAAGAGACTCTGACACTGGGTTCAGAATGATTGCTTGATACTAAGCAATACTAAGCAATATTTAGTACTTTCTTGCCCCCACTTCTTAAAACTTTTTTTATTTGCAACAGAGCAACAATGAAGCAAAAAGGGGGGAATTCATATCATGAAATGTCAGTATACAGAATTGATTGCTATCTCCCTTGATATGAGCGACAAGAGGAAAGACAAGCAAGCAATGAGAACACAGGGAGGAGGTTTTAATGCTTTCATTTCACATACATACATGAATACAAGCAGTCCGTATATCTAAATAAGCATCCTCCTCACATGTTTACCCCACTTAGTTCTATAGCATTTAAATAAGATGTCATCATTAACTCCACCATCATTCCATTCTGGTTCCTGCTGCCTCTATTCATTCTCCTATTACAATAATGTATTTATTTGGCTTGATATAAAGATGCAGAAAATAAGATGTGCCACTTTACCTTTAATCACTGCACAGAAAGTTTTGTTTCCTCAGCACTTTTTATCTCTCCTACATTGCCCGTTTAAGTCAAGAGTAATTAGCAGGTCTGCTTTGGCTGTTTTTCTTATGGTTTCCAGACATGATTGATAATAATGGGCATTCTTCAGGCACCTAACAAAGAGCTGAGGCAGAATACTGTTTGCAAGCCATGGAGTTCTAGTCCAAAGCTCATCTCAATCCTAAACTCGCAAGGTAGCTTTAGGCAAGCTATTATTTACTCCATCTGCAATATGAGGATAAAAATACTGGCTTTGTTTAGCAGAGTTGTGTGAAAATTACTGAGACAATGTATGTAATGCTAGGTGAACATGGAAAATAGAAATGCATAGTATTTAAAATATGACAAAATCATGGGATTAATCAATGAGTTATATTAGATCTTTACTATCAATAGAGTTGAGACAGTAGCAGAGGTCATTCTGAAAGCTGGGAAATAACGTAGAGCCAGGTTTAAGTTTGTCTTGCTGTTCCAGGTTAGTCATGACCCGTACATGCATTCTGTAGCTTCATGCTCTGGGCCATCAAATGTCACAGCTCCTTAATGAGGCTGGGATTCATGTTTCTGAAAGGGCTAATGGGTTACAGTGGAATGCCAGGAAACAAGGAATTGTCTTAATAATATATGCATCTAGTATGTTGATCAGATATTCTTACAGGGATGATCCCTGTTGCTTGGGGAGTATTTTGTTCTTCTCCCCACAAATGGAAGAGGCCAGGAATGCTAGCCAGTGAACTCCATGGTTGTGCTCATTGCAGTGTTAGGCTCTAGCTCTTTTTCCACTACAAATGGTCAATACAGAGCTGATGCACCTCTGTATGGGAAATGGAAGATGCTCAGCATACAAGGTACATCTCCATACTATCTTTTACAGAAAATGTTATTAATGGAGCTGAGATCTAATTACAGTTGAGATCTGATTATGGTAAGCAAGGCCTTCAGGCATTGATACTATGCCCTATACTCTGTTCTAATGTGTGGCAAATGACATTACTTTTTATATTTCCTGGGAAAATGCATGAGTACCTTAGCAAATGTTTTATATTTATTTTTCTACTTTAAGAATCCTTAAGAGGATTAGTTCGAAGTGTAGGATATGCTGTTGCATTACTAATGAAAAATATGCATGCCCGTGTGCTTTAATATACTCTTCCATTTCTGATCTACACCTTGCAGTTCCCTCTGCTCAGTCCATAAAATGTGCAGGCGAGATGCTGCCAAGTTTGGAGTCTGATTTGAAAGGCAGACTGATGAAAAGTGATGTTTGGAGGGAACATGACTGAGCCTCAGGCTGCAAATCTCCTGTGTGCTTCCTGAAGAGCAGGCATCACAGGGCTTGCTTGTGAATCAGCATGAATAGGATTGGGCCTATTTCAGCTTTGAAACGCTACATGTGTTTTTTCTGCATTGGCACAGCTTCAGCAATGAAAGCAGTCACAGAGACAGGATATGCATTTTTGCCACTGCATTGTACACAGTACATTACCTTAAATGGTACTTTTGGTTTGTGAGTAGCAGCTTTTACCCTTGGTAGCAATAATACTCTGGAGCAGTACCTTAAAATGTAATTGGTAAGCTCATCAGGAAGTCTGTAAGTAGGTTTGTCAGCTGGCCCCATTTTCTTGATGCTCTGGGGAAGGAAGGGCCAAGGTTAGGGTTTGCACTTTGCACTGAATCTTAAGAGTTGCTCAGAAAGCAAAAAGATGTCAGTTTGCTTTCAGTTATCTTGCAGCCTAATGCAAGAGAATCACACCCGCCTCATCTCAGCCCAGAGCTGGAAGGGGAACAGAAGAACTCGCCTGTCCAGTTTTGCTGACCAGATGCTTCATGGCACTTAATGAACCATTTCTCTACTCTTCCAGCAAGGAACTCGAGAACTGGGACTTGACTGGGTAGTTGTATGTGACCCTGGAGGTGTTCAAGAGTTCAGCATGGCATCAGACTCTTTCTTTTTTCAGGGAAGGGACAAGGTCTTTAGTAAGCACAATCTTTTCTCGCTTCCAGGACCAGTCTCAATTTATGGAGCCCTGTAGTTTTGCAAGGGTTGCCTGTATTTCACATCATCACTGTTGCCTGTTTCATGGGTACAGCTTTTTAAAACTACATTTCAGAGAAGGCTTTTTCCTGTAAAGATTCTCTGATTTGTTGCTCTTTGGGGCTCCTCTCACATGATTGTTAATTATGTAAATCTACTCATTCTCCTCTCGTGAAACTGAAATGGTTGGTTTGTACCACCCTGGGTAGCAATTTGGAAAGTTCAGGGATGTCTCTTCTTGGAGCAATCATGGTAGTAATTGGTTCGGTTCCTTAATGAGGCCTAGTGATATATGCAAACATTACGCAGTACTGGAACACTCCCCAGCTTTCTTTACTAATGCCTCTGATCCCATACAAAAGAGATTATATATTTAGAAACATAATCCATACCATTTCTCCATAAAGTATGAAACTAGAGTGAAATCTTTCTCTGGGAGTTACAGATTATTTTCTCCACTTCTTATAAGGTGCTATGTTTCAAAAGTAAACAATAGCACCTATTTTTAAGCAATTCTGCACTGCAGATATATTTGACGTTAGTCTTTGGCAGAGTGAAAGAAGCATTTATATTTATTGATCAGAGCACTAAACATTTCTAAAGTGGATTTTGGCCTTTATCCTATCCAGGGAGAGCTGTAGATGGTTACTTGGTAAAAACTTAAACTCCCTGAATGATAGACTTATAAAAATCATTATTTTAAAGAGAACTTGGAACAATTGAGGGATAGTACATCATGAGAGCATGCTGCAATCAGATTCACCCCCCCCCTTCTGTAATATAGGGGAGCTGCCCTACTTTAGAGGCTGCATATGTTTAGTACCTTGCATGCTTGCGCTATATACATGCCCAGTAAGCATTAAGTAGAGAGAGCTGGCACATTTTGCTTCTGTTTAGTCTATTAAAAATGTAATGGAAATTCACTTGAATATATGATGTTTGAAACCAGGGAGCTTTGAGCTGATGGGAGGTGAAGAAATGTAATAAGAAAATTAAAAATATTAGTACTGCTAAACAGATTGCTGTCATTTTTACTTGCCCTTCAAATACAGGAGTTTTAGCTGTTCGGCTTACCACATTGACAGATGTCTGGTTCCTAGACTCAAACCCTGAAGTGAGCATGGAAGGGATGGTTCCATCCCTTGGTTACAGCAGAGCTTTCATTGTTTGACATGTTGCTTTCTTGTTAGTAAGAGAATCTATAAATAATTGTCAGCAAGTTTCAGTATTGTTGTATGTAGATCTGATATTTCTGTTTCTTATTTCTGGATTGCTTTATAAGGTTCCTGGCTTTCAACACTGTGCCCACTGAGGAACTATCATTGCAACATGGAATAAGACCATGTGGCATTGAGTAAAAAATATTCCTTTCTTGCATTACAATTGATTCTTCTGTTGTGTATGAATTTGATGTAATACCCTGCAATCCTGATAATTGTATAGCTGGACTATATTATTTCCTGCTTTAGAAGGAAGAATGCATGTTGGATGTTCTCCAGTGTAAACAAAACATACATTCACTATGCATTGCAAATGTGTATAGCTGAACAAAAGTAGTCCTGAAGCTAATCTTAGATATGCTGCTTTTATATGTGTAATAATTTTATTTTTATTGGGAAAAGGGAGTGGTATTCAGCACCCTATTTGCAATCTGATATGGTAAAATCTAGCAACAGATAATGTCATTTGAGTTTGCTGAATGTGTGCGAGAGTCACTGTATTTTGATGGGTTTAAGTGATAGTTTGTGTTTTGCTGTGCCAGTTTAATATGCTACAATGCATTCCAGTTCCCTAGTGATGTAAGAGCAAAAATACTTTCTGTAACCTTCACTGAAATTTCTGAGTAGACTGTTATGTCCATATTTCGATTGCACATATGTCATGGCCCTGCGACAGTCCTGAGAGGTTTCCTAACTTCTAGAGCAACCCAGATGGAGATGGCTATGAAAGGCTGCCTGAGTCTGAGGCGTTCACAGGAAGGCTCTTGCTGCTGCTACCGCTGCAGACTTCCAGGAGAGGCTGTCTTGAATTGTAATTTTTAGATTCTTTGTCAAACTTGGGAATGGTTTTAAATTTGGTGGCTTAAAGCAGTTTTTGTTTCTGCTTAAATTCTTGAATTTGCTGAATTGTTTATCACCCAAGAGAGAACTTCCCAGAACCAACAAAGAAGTATTGAAATCACATGCTTTTGATCTCTATGGTCCAGTCCAGCTTGCAAGTGAAAGGCTAAAGAATTGATCTTTTACAGTGTCATTCACAATGTTCGTCTGTTATCCTTTATCAGAAGATTCTTTTCCTTTCCTTTCAGGATTTACATTTATGAGACACGTAAGTCTAGGAGCCAGAGTGGAGCATCTCCGCTCTCAGTGAATTAAGACAACATGACCAGGCCTGCATGTATTTCCTGATTCCTCAATTACATCAAGCAAATTCAAAATCTGGGATTAGTTATCTCGCAATTTTCACCTTTTTGTTGAAAGCCAGAAAGGTAAGCTCTGATCTTTAAGGCTGTGACAGCAAATTAGGGGAAGGGACAACTTCTATTAAAATTTACAGGGCATGTGTGTTGAAAGGGGTTTTCAGTGGTTAAAGAGTGGGGCTCCAGAGCAGTTTTGCAAATGCCCACAAATGCCTGCAGTCTGGCCACCGAAGTGGCTTTGCATAGAAAAGGCTCCCATAATTACTGGAAACAATTTGCCTTGAAATCTTTCCCGTTGCATGATATGACTTACACTGCTACTTCTCTTGGTAGGACAGAATGTGTCCCTTTGCTTTAATAGCAGCTATTGTAAGATGCTATTGTGGAATTCCAGAAAACATTAAAATTTCATTTAAGACAAACCACGGCATAGCCAATGGGCACTTTTTTATTGTGAGGGTACCTATTGCCAAAACCTATTATTGTTTACAGCAGTAGTTTTCAAACTGCATTCTGGGATACCTCCAAAATTCTTTGGAAGCTTACCAAGGTTGGGTCAGGGTAAGATCCATAATGGTAAATCAGTTTTCCTGAAAGAGACTGCAGGGATATTATGTAGTCAGAAGGTTGTGTTAGGTGTGTTCTAGTGCCCCATCCCAAATACACACAGGGTGTTTATATCCCGATGGAACTGCATGTGTACCCTAGACTATGCCCACAGTCCTCAGTAATTTGCTGGCTGACAGACAGGGAGTCCCAGCCAGCAGGTGTGTCTTGGAAAAGGTTTTTTGTCAGCAGAAAGTTTGAAAATCCTTAGTGCACTATTTTAAATGACACAGGTAACTAGCCTTCTGCAGCCTTTCCATGGTGTTCCTCTTGTGGCTGCAACTAAGTTGGTATTGGAGACTTGGAGTGCTTGAAAACATAAGGAAAGAGAAAGTGTTTTGGATAAAGTTCTCTTAGGTACCCATTTGTGAACGAGCGCTTACGTCCGTATATGCCCGACCGCCCTTTGAGATCTGCGGGAGAGTCCCTTCTCCGGGAACCCTCCATGAAAGAAATTAGGAGAGTAAGTACTCGGAGGAGGGCTTTCTCTGCGGTGGCACCCAACCTATGGAATTCACTCCCCAAAGAGGTCCGCCTGGCACCGTCGTTACTGGTTTTTCGGCGCCAGGTAAAGACCTTTTTATTTAAACATCATTTTAATTGTTAAAACATATGATCTGGCCAGGGCAACTTCTTCTTCCTTCTCTTTCTCCTCCTATATTTTTATTTACTTAATTTATACTGATAATTTTAATCTTATATTTGTAAATCAATGTATTTTTTGTATTTTGTAATTAATGGTAATTTATTATGTGCTATTGTATTTCATTGTATTTTATCGTGTTGTAAGCCGCCCCGAGGTTTCGGCAAGGGGCGGCATAGAAATGTTATAATAATAATAATAATAATAATTTGTCTAGTTTAGATAATTGTTTTGAGGATTCATAAGGCCTCTTGAAGCCAGGAATGAGTATTGGAGTTGAGTCTTTTGTCCTTCGCCCTTCCTCCTTGCACACTACCACCAGCTACATTGTACCCTGGTTCTGGTACAAAGATCCTTTCTTATTTTGATTACAGAGCTTTCTGTTGCATGCAAGCCAAGGGACTCAGGATTAATGTCAATAAGCAACTTGGAAAATAAGTCAGATCTGCTCCCATGCTGGACAGGGATAAGAACATAGCCAAGCTATAGCCAATGGGAGCTCTGGCCCACCAGGAGGAATGGAGAGTTTTGATTCAAACTTTGACCCAACTCCTGGTCAATTCTGCTTTCCTTTATAACTGGCTTTACTACCATCATCTTCCTATGAAGAAAACTGGGAGGGGATTTGTGCGAGAGCTGTGCCCCCCCCCCCCCCCAGTAGCCGCTAGTAAGAAGTTTTCCTTAGCTTTCCCTTGCCTCTTTCCTTCAAACAAGCTAGGCTTGTGGGTGGGTGGGTGGGTGGGTGGGTGGTCACCTCTGAATTGTGAGGTTATTTCCCAAAACAAGTCTCCAAGTGTAATACGAAATGTAATACTATTTTAAGGATCAGGAAACATACCAACAGGGGGAGATGAGTATCAAACTACATAGTGGAAAAGAAAATAAGTACCCCTCTCAAATGCTGTCTTACCTATTTATCTGGGACATCTAGGTGGGTTCTAAACTTAGGAATGCTCAGAGTATGATGTTTGTCTGATCTTTTCCAGCCAAAACAACAGTGACAACCTTTTCAAAGGCCCAAAGGGATTTCAGTTTGGCTACTTAGAGAAAATTGCCCAGCCATTTCCTAGGAAGTGGAGTTTAGCTTCTGCCTTGCATCCCATGTGGTAGATTTTGTTTGCCAGGTGAGCCAACAGACTGCCTCTAGGGTGAAGTCTATGAAAATAGGAGCAATGCATATTGCATAATATAATGTTTCACAGAACACTTGCTCTTAATAGGGGGAACTGATAGATTTCAAAGCTTCAAACTTGGGCATCTTTTTCTGTCTCTTCTGCCTCTGTTTCTGCCTCTGTTAAGACATGGTATTTCTGAACAGGTCCCCTGGAGCCAGCTTATCAGCACTTATAATTTGTACCTGACAGGTTAAAGATGCTTTCTTAAGGTGCCTGAAAAGTAGCAAGTCAGAATGGAGTTATTGAGTAATTGATTCTTGTATTTAAGCATGAGGCTTTCCCCCATAAGGACCGGTTTCAGATTTGCACACTAGGGGGATTCGTGTAAACACCTGGCCTCGAAAGAACGCACAAGGGGAATGACTGGCCGGATGGGCTAGTCCTGCTCCGGGAGTGCACAGCAGCAGCTGCATACCCTGCTAGAGGAGAGGATTTTGCCCCTGATTATAGAATCATAGAATAGTAGAGTTGGAAGGGTCCAGCCCCCTGCTGTTGCAGGTCACCAAGTTACACCATCCTACTCAGATGCCTGTCCAGTTTCTTCTTGAATGTCTCTAGTGTGAGAGAGCCCACCACCTCTCTAGGCAGCTGGTTCCACTGTCATATTGCTCTGACAGTGAGGAAGCTTTTCCTGATGTCCAGCCTGAACCTGGGTTGTCGCAACTTGAATTGATTATTCTGTGTCCTACTAGAAGAGACCTTGACCTTGCTCTTTGTGACAGCCTTTGAGGTACTTATGGAGGGATATCATGTCCCCATCCCCCAATCTTCTCAAGGCTGAACATGCCCACTTCCCTTAGTCTTTCCTCATCGGGCAGTGTTTCCATTCCTGGACCATTTTTGTTGCCCTCCTCTGGACCCTTTCTAATTTTCTTGCATCTCTCTTAAATCTTGGTGCCCAGAATTGGACACAGTATTCCAGATGAGGTCTCACTAGTGAGGAGTATAGAGGAACGACTACTTTCAGCTTTAACTTTTAAACAAAGCTGTGGGAACACTTATGTGGAATTGGTATGGTGGAGATTGTTCTTAGAGAGACATAAAGAGGAATACTTAAATGTGTTTTATAATAGTTTGTCTACATAGTATAGGCTTGGAGGACGTGGCAGGTGTCACTATGTATGATTGATGACACAGATACTAGCCAGTAGATGCCTGGGATAGTCTCAAATCATAACATGCTAGTTCGGTGAAGATCATGCTGGGCTTCTCAGTGAGGAAGAGAGGTATAGATAGTAAAGGGAGGTTTGGAGCAGCTTAACCTGGTACTTTCCAGATGTTTTGAACTTCAACTTGTAGCAACCCCAGTCAGCATGTCTAATGGTCAAGAGTGCAGAAGGAATTACAAAAGGGTATCATGGGGCTCTGCTGTTGTGCAAGCCAAGATCTGGGAGCCAAGAACTAACTCTGGTTTGTGCTTTTGGCTTCTAGAGGACACAGCAAGCCAGGAGTCTTGGTTTGCGCAAAGCATTAAGGTTTAGCCTGTCAAGTGGAAACAAAGAGGCTGCATGTATCAATATGCAACTTGTGAATGGGAAACCAGAACTATGCACTTTCTGTCTCATTGTTCTGTGTGAACCAAAGACTAGTATGTTCCATTTCAATCATGAGATTTCCAAGCTGAATATCTCTTTTATTAGAGGACCCCCCCACTCCCCATGACTAAATATATCTTGAATGTTTGAAATGCCATAACTCAGATAATATGTCCTGAGTATTAGAAGGCATGAAGGGGGAAAACATAGTTGTGAAACAATGAACTCCTGCACTATTGTATTTATAACTGAAATTAACTGGGTTTGAGGGGAAGTTTGTTCTATAAATACGGGTGCAAAGGCACATTGTACTTCTTGGATAGCATTGCCTTCTGAAATTACGTAAGAGATTACTATACTTTTAAAAAACTTATGAAAAATTTGAAGGAGGGATAAACTGATGCCATGCTTTTTACCTTAATTCTGATTACCTCCTTGAGAAAAGACATCAGCCCTATAAAAGTTGACAGTAGTCCTAAAACTGATACTCTTAAAAATGCCACTACTCTTCTAAAACATTTCTCCTTAGCATAATTCTTATAATTCTTCTCAGATTTTGCTTAAGCTGAGATATGGTGATTACTTTTAATTCTGGAAATACTTGAACTCTCCTATTAAAGCACTTTGAGTGTCATATAAAAGAATACACTCCTTTAAAATGAGGAAAGATCTTTCTGATTAAAAACGAGCTAGTGATTTTTTTCTTCGCACTATTTCTTTAAATCATCCATCCGGCAAGGATAAACTCATATTCTGGATTTACAGCAAAGTGAAAAATGCTCATTCGCTAAGTAGACAGTTTCACTTAGTTATATTGGGAATCGCTTCTGCTGTGTTAATGGTGTAAGCAAAATGTTTTATTCTGGAGGCATAGATTATAATGATATACAATGATAATATATAATGATAATGTTAATTAGAAAGTAGTAAATTTTAAATCCAGTTCCAACATACATTCAGGTGTAAGGCAAGAACTGTTAGTATGCTGCAAACACTAAAACCCCCCTCAAAATATGACAAGCTCCTGTGAGTTTACAGCATGCACCTTCAGACTCTGTTAGAATCACCACTTCAGTCTTGCCTCCTTTTCCCTAACCCCTCTTCAGCTAGAAGATTCACTATTGGCATGAACCCATTTCAACCCACAACAAAACTGGACAAGGATCACAAGTTTCCCAAAGGACAAAAAGGATTGAGCTAAATAGGTTCCCTGTAGGAGAACGTTCCACAAGGAGAGTGCCAGCATTAATGATAGGTTTGTCATATCTCAAGATTTTGACTTGAGTTTTCAGGCTGTTGCCCTCTTTTTCAAGTTCCCCATGTTCCAGGTTCTTCAGACTGCAAACTGAGCTGCTGGTCTCTGCCAGCGGGAGCTCCGGGTGCCATTCTTGCTCACACAGGCCTCACCTCACCTGATCTTGAGCTGAGCCTTCAGTACCTGGCTATCCTAAGAAGGAAGGCCATAAGTCTGAACCGTTGACTGTTCTTCGGCCATTAAAGGATATGTGAAAGAGTCTTTGAGCAGATCTTGAAGCTTGCTGGAGGTACTGGATCTTCACATGGCTTAGACCTGGACCATTTAGGGCAGGGACATGACCCTCTAGATGCGGCTTTATTGTAGCTCACATCAGCCTCTGGGAGCATAGCGAATATGGAGAGTTGATGGGAATTGCTATCTCACTACATTTGGAGGCTGCTCCATCCCTGTCCCTAATTAGAGCTTTAAGCATCACAACAACAGTATTTAGTGGAGCCTAATTAATGAGTAATCCGTGCAGCTTCTTGGGCAGGGCTGAGCAACTTGTAGCCCCATGTAACTTCCATGATCCCTCACCACTGAGGGCTAATAGGACTTGTAAGCCAAGATATCTTCAGGGACAGAAGTTGCCTACTTCTTGAATTATTTCTTAATGGATTTCTTTTCTGGAAATAAAAAGTCAGAAAAATGGGTCATCATTTGGATCACCTCCATAAAATTCCATGAATAAGGCAGAACAATTTGCATGATAACAGCCTCATCTGGAAGCATTCCAAGTTAAACTAAGCTTTGCTTCCATTCTCCTAGTAATAGCACAGAAACTTACTTGTGTTGATACTGTATTTATTTCCTTAATGAATACTTACTAATGGTTGTAGGCATATTTATTTGTCTGAAATGAATTTCAATTAAAGCAGTTAACAAGCAAATTAAAAAAAGCAAGTGGACTATAAATTTGTCAGATAAATGCATGTACACAGTCTCCATCTGCAAAGATCGCTGAATCACTGGCCAGCATAGTAACTTGCAGTTATTTTCGAATTCAGTGACTGATAATAGATCAGATGTTAGATCCAGCTCCACGAACAGAATGAGTTTCTTGAAGTTAATTATTTTCAGTTGGGCATCAAAAGAGTATGTTTCAAGTGGCAGAGAGTCCTTTGGGACATCTGTACAGCACTTCTATAAAACCAGCATTTACTTCCTGTTTACTCTGTATACAGCTAGGCTTTCGAATATCTGTGTCTGTTCTTGGACAAGTTTTTTGAAACCTACCTGGTTTCCAAGTCAGTTCAAAATAGAAAAACAAGCCTCTATTACCCTGACATCTCCCTGTGTGCCGTATTTCACTTTTTACAGGTTACAGCAGTGGTGTTCAGAACAGGTGCAGAGCACTGAAAGGGGAAACAAACTAATTTTGATCTGTTTGGCATTCTACAGCTGCTATAGAGAGCAGGGTTTTTCCATTAAAAAAATAAACCCTGGGGCAGCAGGTGGTCCTAAGCAGGTAGTGGGAAGGGATTGGTCACATAGGCCAGCATCCCTCTCCTTCATTCAGGAGACGTGAGACGTCTGACAAATTGTTCCGCTGGGAGGCCAGTTCCAGCGTATTAAGTCAGGACTCCTGTGGAAGCGCAGAAATACTGGGCTTGGCTTGCCCAAACCCGTCCATTGACCAGCCCCATCTGGGCATCCCCGATAATTGCTCTTAATGTCAGCTTCTGGAAATGAGTGACTCCTGGAGGTCCTGGCAGCCTCCCTGAGCTCAGAATTTCCTTATAAATAACTGTTCTGGAAATAATAGCTTGTACAACCATTTTTTAGTGCTGCTAACAAGTATCTTCAAATTACAGTAGAGGTTTTGGAGCAATTTGTTTTTTAATCCGTAATCTTAGAAAATTAGTAAGTATCTGAGCATAAAGCTCTCTTTCAGCTTTCCTTTACTTCTTACTAAGAAATAATTTGATACAATTCCCACTACACGTATGTTCATTGATGTTATAGCTATTTGCTGCCCTTTCTGAAATAGGATGGCTTTAAAATTAAGACGCTTCTAAAAACTGAATCTCTTTGAAATTGTTATCACCTAAAGTGATTGCAGCAGTTAAGTTCACATTGGCTATCCCATCAGCTACAATTAGAAGTCTAAACAGAAGGGTGCACTTAAAATCAATAGCACTGTTGCATGATTTTTCAGAATAATTGGATGTGTCTTTTTTCAGATGAGAAAATAAATCTGCTTCTAAAAATTTCAATACCATGCAAGTCTTACCCAAGAAGATAATCGACCCCTGTAAGTATAAAAGTGTTTGATATAAAATGCCTTATGGATTATGAAAATTGATGGAACATGATTCCTTTTTTGATTTACTAATCTCATGGGTTGCAGTATTAGTAAAAGCCTTTCTTTAACTTTGGTGTGACATGGATGATATCTGAATATGTAATATATACAGCAGATCATCTAGGCCACCAAAAGCTCAGTGCATATCTACCTGAAGACCATGCCTAGGAAGATGGAACAATTTTGAGTTTGTGGTCAGCAGTCAGAGAAATCTCAAAACATTTCTAGAGAAAGGCAATTTGAAGCTTTGTGTAGAAGTGGGGTGTCAGAAAGGTTTTGGGCATCCCACAGCCTAGAACATCACTGGATTTCTTTCATATTGATTGATTGATTGATTGATTTATATCCTGCCTTTTTCCTGCAAAGGGCTCAAGGCAGCTTACATCATTCTCCTCCTCCATCTTATCCCCCCAACAACAACCCTGTGAGGTAGGTTGGGCTGAGAGCCTGTGACTGGCCCAAAGTCACCCAGTTGGCTCCATGGCCGAGCGGGGACTCGAACTCAGATCGCCTGAGTCCCAGTCCCATGCTCTTAACCACTACACCGCACTGGCTCTCTTGATCATATGGGTGATCAAGAAACATTTTGATCTCTAGGTCATAACTGACCTTGTTCAGATGACACATTCAGCCATAATTTAGCATTACAAGAATGAGCTACAGTGTACTTAGAGTTTGTGTGCTTCCTGCCCTTCTCCTTCTCAGCAGTTTGAACAACTTTCTTCAATTTTAGACAATCAGTGCTGCTTCTTGTGATTATCCAAATCCAATCCTTTGTTTTGCGGAAACATGCCAACTTCAAACTATAGTTTTGAGAGGGTGACTTGTTTTAACCAACTAGAGTTAAAAGTAATCATCATTTGGGTTTGGAGAATATGCTCAACCACAGTTCCTCTAAAATGGAAGCAGTAGCTTCTTGATGGGCACCTGCTTTCCCGATCCACCTTAGTGTCCACAGAACCAGTGACTCCAGTTCCAAACTCCTAAATTCAAGATTCCTACCCCAAGTTATTTATTTATTTATTTGGAGAACTTATATGCCGCCCTATTCGCATAAGCCTCGGGCAGCTTTCTTTTTCATTGACTTAAAGACAGTTTCAGGTTGTGTCAAGTTTACCTAAGATTGTACTAGCAAGATAAAAATTTTAACAGAGCAGCCTGTAGGATTACAGTATTAACACAGACCCATGTATAAACGAGCTGGATGACTGATGTTGCTGCCAAGGGACTCGTATTTTATTTGATCATTCTTTTTTCTTAGTTGTGAAGGCTAAGTTAATGTTTATTGACATCAGTGTTGTTTTGTAACGTGGTCAGAGAGGATGACAACGAGAAGTGGCCTAGGGGCCGCATGTGGCAGCTGCCTCCCCCCAGTTTTGCCTGTGTTGCCCCAGTTTTTGGTATTTTCCTGTGGAGGCGGGATCATGATCAGTGGCCGAAATTCAGTGGAAAACTCCTGTAAAGTCTTGGAATAGACAAATTGAGTTGTTTTCTTTGGGGTTGTTTTGTTTCATACTAATGTGGTGGGATCCCAGTGCATGGGGAGGATGGGGTGCCAAATCACCCCCCATACTTTCCAAAATCAACCTTCCTTGCTTCAAGCAACTCCTTGCTAAAATGAGTGTTACAATGGGTGTAACAGGGAGCCAAATTAAAACTTGAGTTTTGTTTTGTCTTGAATGTCTTAACATACCAGTGTCATAAGCACTGCTAGTGGAGACGACCGTCTGCTGCCTTTTGTCACTCCACCGAGATACTGCTGTGATCAGTGAAAAGAGTCGCCTTCCCCATGACAACATGTCAGCGAAAGAGCACAGCCCCCGACACGGTGCAAAGTCACGCGGTGTGCAGCGGGCCTCCACCATCGATGTCGCTTCTGACATGTTAGGTTTGTCTTTGTCAGGTATTTTCTTTCTCTTCCTTTGCATTATATACTTGTATATAAATCGTCATTCATTTGTTTTGATCTTTGAAGGTTGAGCCTTTCAGGCACCTTGATTTCCCCAAAAGATGATGGGGAACGCCAAGGTATTGTAGCGGTTCGAGTGTTTGTTGGACTGGGGCTGAAGGAACCTGGGTTCTAGGACTGTGGAGAGACTTTGAGCTAGTCACTGCCTGGATTTGCACAACATGACAAGCAGGCAATCAACAATGTAAAAAAACACAGTTGCTTGTCATGTTATCTGAACTCAGTCGTGGTGATTGATCATTGTGCCTTACTGGGGATATCTACCACGGTAAGACACAATCGTCTGTTCTGGGTTTTCTCCCTACCACAATGGTTTCTTGTGTCATCTGAACCCAGGCAAAACATGCACTTTTTACCATGATGGGTTGTTTTGCCTGGGTTCAGATGACACAAGAGTTGCTCAGCAAGAGTGGTGGTTGGCACTCTCACCAAGCAGCTGGCCAGGGAGCACAGCTGGCAAGTGTTCCTGTTTGGCGAAATGTCAGAGGCATCCTGTCTCATCCTGCCTCTGTTCCAGAGGGCGTATTTGGGGCAGGAGCTGATTGCTTCCTCCATGCAGGGGATGGGAGAGAATCAGCAAAGAGGCACTGCCTTGGGAAGAAAAGCTCTCCGGCTTGGGAGAAAGGTGTCTTGGCTTCCCAGCCCAGTAGCCACTAGAGTGCCTTTCACCCACGCAGAAGCTCTGGGGGATGGGCTAGCCTCCTCCTCCACTGCTACTGGAGCAAAAGCAGCTCAAGCAAGTGCAATGAAGGGAGAGACTGGGCTAGGCAGGAATGTTCTGTTCTCAGCAAGTCCCAGCCTAGCCCAGGCTCCCCATTCCCTGCGCCCACTTGATCAGCCTTTTTTCCAGCTTCCATCTGGGGCAGCGTGATCCCCCTCTTTTGTGCCTGAGAGTGAATCAGGCACTTGTCGCCACTCCAGAGGTCTCTGGAGCAGGGTCTCTGGACTGCGGCCAGTCCTACACCCTTAGTCCAACCTGCCCCACAAGGTGGTTGTTAGGATAAAAGGAGCTGTGTAAGCCAAGGGGTCCCTCACAAGAGCAAAACAAGTGAGATATAAATGCAATGCAGCAACAATGCAAAGGTAATAAATGATGGAAAGCAAACACACATGCACACACTGTGTTACGTACCTTCCTCCCCCAAGTTATTTGTTTGTTTGTTTATTTATTTATTAAAACATTTTTATGCCGCCCCATTCGCCGAAGCCTCGGGGCGGCTTACAACATTAAGTTAAAAATAATTATAACATTAAATTAAAAAATACAAACATTAAGTTAAAATGCAAAAATAACAATATAAAATAAGTCACCCTGGCCAGATAAAATCCAAAAATATTAACAATTAAAATGCCGCTTAAATAAAAAGGTCTTCGCCTGGCGCCGAAAAACAAATAACGACGGCGCCAGGCGGACCTCTCTGTTATACATAGCAGATAAGATGTCAGGGCAGGGTAGCAATGAGAGGAGATTTGGGGATGCTGTAAGGAAAAGCTAGGGGAAAAAATTGACCAGGAGACTCTGTGTTTCGTGAATTTATGGACATTGGTACTGCTTTTGCAAGCTTTTCTGTTAGCACTCCCTTAAGAATTCTGAAATAATAATTTCATGTCTGAAGAGGCTTCCGTGCAGAGAATGCATAGCAATAGGATTCTTGTCCTCTTATTTTTTGTTCAAATACCATTACAGCTTCTCTCATTCATTTTGAAAGTGGTTTAAAGTTAAAATTAATCATACCCCACCTGTGTGGTCATGGTATTACAATTTGAGAAACATAAAACATGAAAGTTCCCTTCCGGCATGAGATGTGCAGTTCTTTGAATTCTAGGTGGTTCTGTTCTGTCTTCAAATCAGTTCAGCTTTTCTGAAAAGGATGTGAAAGAGAAAACCCCTGCTTTCTAATGACAACCTCAGTACATTTTAACATGAACAAATTCAAATGAATTTCCACAATGCCATCATGCATTTTATTCAGTCTTTTGCTCTTTGTAGGAAACATCCAGGATCCAGATGAGCCAATCTTAGAATTCAGTTTAGGTAAGTAGTTTTGCAGTGGCTCCTTTCCCCACTGCATTTGAAAGACCCCTTTGGTATTTTCTGACGAGAAGGTCATCATACAGAAATAGTTGCTTATGTAGTGAGTAGAAAGTAGACTCTGCTTTGCGTGGCCTGACGGCTTGGGTGAGAAACCACTGGCTCAGGGCCCAATCCTGCTCTCCCAGGGTCCTACCTTAGCTCTCAGTAGTTCTCCAGATGGTCATGCCCACCGCTGGCCGCACCCACTTCCCCCCAGCTGCTAGCCATTTGGTGGTTTCCTAGCTTGTCTGTGGTTTTGTGTGTGTGTGTTGGGGGTGTTTCCTGCTGTCAAGACATAAAACATCTCTTCTGAGGCTCCATTATTGGCAGTAGGAACTCTAAACTAAAATATGCTGGTATTTTTGCTATTACTCCTTTTGATTTCAGCCATGCCCATCACTGGAATGTGCTCTGAAAGCTTCTTCAATATTGAACTGGGCCCTTGAGCTGAAAGGGTTTCGCACCCCTGCCTGAAAACAAGCAAATATATTCCAATATACTTTTATAAGTAGAACCAGCTTTTCAAGATGCGTAACAAATTGCCTCGAACAGTGCTCTGCACAAACTTCTTGTCTTTATTTTTTATATATTTGTTAACTTATTTGTATTGCATTTGTATGCCACTCCATAGCCAGAAGGCTCTCCGGCAGCTCACATCATAGACATAACATAGCAGTGCAGATAAAAATAGTTAACAGTAACTGCTAAGACCACAATAGATAATACCATTGAAAATGCTATATAAAACACAACAGGAGGATAAGCACAATATAAACAACAAGACAATAAAACAGTAAACCAGCAGCAAGAGCAAAGAATCATAATCTAAAAACAAATGGTAAATGAAAAGGTCCTTATTTGGCGCTGAAAGCAAGATAATGTGGGTGCCAGTTGCACCTCTTTCAGAAGGGAATTCCAAAGGTGAGGTGTGACGACAGAGAAGGGCCTTTTCCTCATGAATTCCCCCCTTACCTCATTTGGGGGAGTTCTCAAAGGAGGGCCTCCAATGATGACCTGAGCGGTCTGGTAGGGATAAATGGAAACAGGCGTACCTTTATATACTGTCCCATTACTGGCATCTTGGGACCGATAACTTTAGATATCCTTTATGTTTCAAGCTGTATGAACTCTTACCACACTCTGCCTTTTTGCCCTTTGGGTTTTTTATTTGTTGAGGATTTATTTGTATTTTGTTTATATATGATTTTGTGGGGAATAGGAAAGCTTCCACAGTGTACCAACAAAATAAAACTATCACAACAAAACAGCATTAAAATACAAATACATATCTGTGTGTGTACACGCACAGAATAAAAAATGCCATTCATAAAAATGAAAGCAGTAGAAAACCATATGATGATATCCCACCACCAACTCTCCTTTTCCAGTGCTACCATCTCCAGCCACTGGAAAGTCTCCCTTTTCCTTAAACGATGCCAGTCATTCTTCCATGCTGTCACCTGTGTGGGAAACACTCTCCTTGAGCATACCATGAATGCCACCCCTCTCTCACCCAGACTGCCTCATTCCCACCAGGCAGTGTGTGTGATGACTCTTGCCAGCATTGCTTCTTCCCTGCTTTTGCCTCTCTTCTTTCTTTCCCTCTGCTATTTCCCCCATTGTCAGTTTAGACTAGAACCTCTGTTACACAACAAGGCTCATGGGTTGTACAGTATCCATTACGACAAGGCAGTCCAGTGCAAAGTCGGTCGATTCCCCGCTTCCCACCTTGCTTCATATTGCATATTGTATCTGTGTGACATAGTGCCTCAGTGTATAAAATGATATTGTTGATTTCCTATAGCTTGCAGTGAGCTGCTTACTCCGTCGCTAGATAGAAAGCCAAATAGTTTTGTAGCAGTGAGTGTCACTACACCTCCTCAGGCATTCTGGACAAAACATGCTCAAACTGAAATTATTGAGGTAAGCGATAGCAAGTTTGCTGTTACAAAGTGGATAATTTCAGCTGGTACCAAATCATCCCTGTTCACACAGCTGTTTCTCTCTTTAATTACAGGGAACAAGCAATCCTATCTTTCTCAGCAGCATTGCCTTTTTTCAAGACTCGCTTATTAATCAGATGACGCAAATCAAACTTTCTGTATATGATGTTAAAGATAGATCTCAGGGAACTGTAAGTTGACTTTGCAACCATCTTCCCTGTCGTTCATGAGATTGCAGATGTAAACAAGGCCTGTCCTCCATAAGCTCTAGGTCGGTCCTCTGTCACACTTGCTTTGGACTAACAGAAAAATTGAAAGAGAACTGCATGAGATTTAACATGTTGCTTGACCCTTTCATTGGGTCGGAGCCAAAGGGTCCCTTCCTCTGAGTAGGAAATGGATCTTTGGATCTGGTTCCTTCAACAAATCAAGTTTATATTTCGGGAGTTTCTTGTTTTCCCGTCTCCCGTAAGAAATATTAATGAAGAGGCATTTTTATTCTCATTATTTTCTAAATAATAAATGAATGCAGTATTTTAAGCAATTCTCTTAAGTCACAGTGTGTATGTAAGAGGCACATTTCCAACATAATATTAAACCATACCTAATAAGGCTTGGTCTGGCTTGATATCTGAATTGACAAGCTATGGCTTGTGACTGGCCAGTGAAACAGAATCAGAAACCATAGTTGGAAGTTACTGCCACTGCAGCACCTTTAGAGGCTGATTAATCCAGGAGATAGAAGTGAACGTATAAACTTGCGTACTGAAAATTAAAACAGACAAGCAGCTACAAATCTTGAATGGTTTGTTTATCTGCATACATGTCTTGTATGGTCAAACCATCAGCTGGGTTCTAAACTATAGTTAGAGACCTGCTTAATTTAGTTTTCCATGTCACATAGAGGCCCTAAAGATAGGCTTTTAAATGTGAAATTAGCAAAGTAAATACATCATGCCCTCTGCATTTATGATGCTTGTCTTTTCCAGATGTATTTATTGGGTTCTGTGGTCTTCACTGTAAAGGAGGTACTTACGGAGAAGAACCATAGGTTGCATTTAACACTAAGGTTTGTCCTTGGTTTTGTTGCATTTGAAAGGGATTGGGAACCATATCTCTGCTTACTGTAGGAAAACTGGTCCATTTCACTATACAGTGGGTAAAACCTGGGTAAAACAAAAACCATGCCAACTCATACATGCATTGTTGCGGGCTGATGGCAGTGCCGTTCCACAAGGTGTGGGCAGCCACAGTGAAGTATCTAGACCAGAAATGGGACACTTGTGGCCCTCTAAATGTTTTGGCCTACAGCTTTCATTATCACTTGGTGGTGAGGAATGATAGGAGTGTAGACCAAAACCATTCCTGCATTAGATCTTGTGGTTGCCCTCCTAGCTTCATGATGCTGGTGGATCTTAAGTAATACCTTGGGTGATATTCAGAGCATGGACAGAGGAATAGAAGAAGACTGTTAGCCCTGAGCTGTACAGAACTTCAAATGTTAAGATCCTCCTTCATTATTGACTTTACCTTTGAAATTTATATTATATATTCCTTGGGAAAGGGACTTACCTGTTTGCCTTGTGTTGTCCTGTAATAAATTTGCAGCATTATTGCTATAATAAACTTGCTTTTGCCCTCAGTTCATGGCAGGGTAATTCCTTACGTGATGTATTTCCATCCATTTGATATCTTCCCTCTATTTTTTCTTAGTTTAGTCAGTGTTGAATGCTGATCTTTAACTAGTATATAAACCATTTGTGGAGCTCTGAAGGATTCGCATAGTTTATTGTCAAAACTAGAATCTGCAGCCACATAGCAGAGTATCTGCAACAGATAAATAATTCTATTGGGTCGATCACAGCAAGCATGTATGTGTTGCAGATCTGCTGAAAGTGACCGTGTTGGTAACATTACAGTCATAGGATGGCAAATGGAGGAAAAAACAGATCAAAGACCTCCCATTACCAGGTCTCCTGACACTATCAATGGAAGGGTAAGTGTTGCCTTCTCCAAATCACACGGTGTATAACAATGTGTACTACAATTGCCTCAACACCTCCTTTTCTCTCTCCTTTAACAGTCCTGCCTCTTCATGGGCTGTTCACACAAAGTCACCCCCCACCCCACCCCACCCTAGTTCTGTCCTTTCTTGGGTGCAGGCTCTCATGGGCAAGCATCCTCTGTGACCCAGGCAGACACAGACATGGCCAGCGACAGTCACCATGCTCAAAGTAGCCACGTCTCAATGCTCAGAGAATTTGCTGCTTGTTATATTTGCAGATGCCTGATCCATATGATAGATGCTTTCGATGGAGGAAGATGTTGTGCGAATTGGTCCTTTTAAAATAAAGGATTCAAACTTCCTTTGTCTTTTAAAAAGAAAGAACAATTGTCTTTTTTAGCGTGATCAGGTGAACCCCGCCCCATGTTTATCATATTGCTTCCTAATCACCGTTACCTCCCTTCTTTTCCCCTGAGGAATTCAATACAATGGATATAGGAGATAGTTTATTAAAAATAAATAAATGTCCACCCCCATGTTTTGAACCCGGACTTCATATTTCCAGACCTTCAGGTAGTCTATTATATGTTGTTATTTCTAGCTTCTCTCCAAGAAGTGCAGGGTGCTCTTGGTAGTCCCTTCCATCATTTTGTTCTCATGACAATCTTGCTAGGTAGGCTTACCTGAGAGAGGGAGAGAAAGAGAGACCCACCCAAAGTCACCCAATTAGCTTTCCTAGTTGACTTGGTGGTTCAAATCAAGGATTGGGGTTCATAGTCAAAATCTAATACTCTAGCACAGTGATGGTGAACTTTTTAGAGACCGAGTGCCCAAACTGCAACCCAATACCTACTTATTTATCGCAAAGTGCCTACACTGCAATAAAACCTGAAAACTGAGGTTTTGTTTAGAAAAGACAACTCATAGCCAGTTCAAGCAAATTGGCAGCGCACTGACCAGTCATGCGAAAGCTTGGATGAGTCGCAGCTAATGACTTGCAGCTCGTGATGTCATCACCTGGCGCCGCTACTCCTTTCCGAGCATGCGCCTGGCTCCTGTGTGTGCTGTTATCCAATGCTCGGCTGCTGGGGCAACTTGGTTTGCGTGCCGACAGAGAGGGCTCTGGGTGCCCGCTGTGGCACGTGTGCCATAGGTTCGCCACCACTGCTCTAGCAACATCAATAAATTAGAACTTAAGGAATTGGAAAGTTGGAAGTTGATGTAAAGCTACGTCCTCTGAATTTTCTTTCATACTGACTGATAATTTGAAGAACAACTTTGGTTATTTTATTTTTATTTGTTTAGAACTAATTGTTATCACAAAAGAAGAAAGTCAGAACCATATAGATATTCCACAAAATCCAGTTAATTTCATCATGTAACAGGGTCCTGCATAAATTTAACTCTACTTATGTATCATATAGCTTACCATTGCTGAACTTGATGCCCTCCAGATGTGTTGGACTACATAGCTGCTAGAGATTATGGGAATTGTAATCCAACACAGCTAGAGAGTTCCAGGTTAGAGAAAGCTGCAGTAGCTGTATATAAAACAACTTTGTATCCTGTGTAGCAGATCGTTCTGAAACTAAGCTAAAAAACCCTTTATAGATCCGTCCTGAACATATTTTCTAAAGGCTGAGTATGAAGTTTTACATCTTCTGTATTCTACTATTTACATTTTCTTCAGACTGTGCTTCCAGTTGATGAAAGTTTAACAGAGTCCTTAGGTATCCGATCCAAATATGCTTCATTACGAAAAGATGTTTTGTTAAAATCTGGTAAGTAGGTTGTCTGCACATATTAATATTTTTGCTGTTGCGCCTGAACAATACAAGGAATCATCCTTACTCCCTTCGTGATGCTCGTACTGTCAGTGCCATTGCTTATATAGCCAAAATGACACCATCAGTACGCAAAAAGGAGGCATCAGCAGACGTGGCAGAGCCCCACAGTTTGAGAAGTCAAGTAAAATACTCAGAAATAACTGCCGGGGGAGCCAAAACCATTCAGTTGGGCCTGAGCAGGCTCTGTGGCTCAGTGCCACAGAGTGGGAAGGTGGAATTGGATGGGGAGGCTGGAATTCTGAACTGCGAGCACTCGACTACAGCATTTTGTTGCAGGTCTCACTTCTAATTTCCTAAACTTTGGATGTATGCTGCATCACAGTCTTGATTATATAAAGCAATTGCACAGTGGCTCGCAGAGCAAAGCTAGCTTGTAAATGTTACACCTTGCACAAGCAAATTCAAAGTATTTGATTTGACACTTGCACGAAGATAAAAAACAAGGTTTTATCCAGCGGCAGAAACTGTGTGCTAGCAGAATAATCCCCATTGTTAAATCCGTTGTTCTGGAAGTGCTCTAAGAAAATGCAGTGTTTTATTAAATTGGTTATGTACATTAAAATAGAATAGGGTCTATGTAATTTTTGGTGAGTTAAATCAACTTTAACAAACCAAAAATATAGTTTAACTTTAGTAAAACTTTAACTAACCAAACTTTAACTAACTAGCAATAGGGGAATGGATTACTCTGGTTTAAAAATTGTTCATTGTTTTCATATTTTAGTTTTTGGAGGGGCCATTTGCCGGATGTATCGGTTCCCCACCACGGACGGGAACCATCTGAGGATCTTGGAGCAAATGGCAGAGAGTGTGCTCTCCCTACACATCCCCAGGCAGTTTGTGAAACTGCTACTTGAGGAAGATGCAGCAAGGTAGGATTTAAAAAGTGGAAAGCTGAACAGGAGCCTGTCGTTGTTGAAATACTTAAATGTCACCAGTGCTTTTAAGCTTAAAGGAGGAACAAGATATTGTTGCAAGTAATGCTGCTCTGCGGCAAATAGTGGGGAATTCACAACTTCTCTGATCAAGGTGCTAATGTGACAGCATAATTGCTTATGCTTTTTTCTTTGGTGCTTCAGAGTTGGAACTGTTTGTTGGCTAGGTGAACAGGTGTTCCCTGTTTGCGTGAGGGCCAATATAAAGTGAATGTGGGAGAGCAGGTAGTGCTCACGTCTTCTCTGCCTGCGGATTCTTCTGCCATATGCTTTCCTCAAGGCCAGAGGGTTCCTTTTTCTGCGGTGGTGGTGCAGCTTGCAGGAGAGAGTCAGAAGGCGGGGGAAGGATTACGTGATCCTGCCCAAGTATCTCCAATCCACACTTGCCTGTTAAAGGAGGACATGGGGTTGACAGCTCTACATTTTCCTCGTGGCACATAGCTTTGACCTCAGTTCATTAGAGAAGCTGGGAGTTCTCTTCCGGCTGTTCTGGGACTTTTCCTTCCTCCTGAAACACTTAAGCCAAAGTTTAAGCTTTTGGACTTCAGCAAGCTACCTATTTTTCCTTAATTTGGGGTGAGGTTTCTAGGAATTGTAGTCCTTCCCAACACTTTTGGGAAGTACCAAATAACCTGCTGCTGAATTACGGAGTCAACTGACTTTCAGTCAGTCACAGACTCTCACCCCAACCCACCTCACAGGGTTGTTGTTGTGAGGATATGCTTGATAAGAGAATTAAGTAAACTTCCTTGTGTTTCTGGAAGGAAAAAAGGCAGGATAGAGATGTGAGGTGATGTGGACCATGGCCAGTCCACCATGTCAGTAGATTAGCAGTGAAGGCTGAATTAAATAGCAATTCTGTCTGTCATGAAGTATTTTCAGCCAATTAATCAAACTAGTGGGAAGGGGTTATTTTCACCCTAGGAAACAGACTGGGCAGAAAAGAGCTCTCTCTTCCCTCTTATGTGGAATAAGTCCATAGTGACATTAACAGCTTAGGCACTGCTGTGGCTTGAAGATATGGGCTACATCCATATCTTCCCCACCTGGCTCTCTCCAGATGTTTTGAGGAACAACTTCCACCATTGCTGTCCATTCTCCATGATAGGTGAGGCTGATGGGATGTGCAATTAAAAAAAAGAGGAGGCAGCTGCCTTGTTAAGGAAAATTGTATTAGATTATTTTCTGTTGTTGCTTTTACATTATGTAGTTGATTAGTGCAGTTCTATAAAAAGCAAACTCAGGCGTGGAGATGGCTCTTTAATGAGAGTGGGTTTCCATGGTCTCTTACAATTTTGAAGTGTCTGGCATTCTCTAGTCCAGGAGAAAAGTGATGAAATACTATCTTTGAAACTTCGATTTCTTCATCTCTTCCCTGGTTGCTTGGCTACTGCAGTAATGAGTAGAGTCTTGATTCAAATCTTCAATATTTAATTTCTTTGCTACTTGGTTTGTATTGAATCAGGAAGCTCCAAACTTAAGTAATTCCCTGAAAAACAGTGCCAAGATAAAATTGGCAACATCTATACCAAAAATTATGAAAGAGTCAAAGTAGGTGTCTCAGGAAATTTTTACTCAACAGTTTCCATTGTTTTGGATAGATGGAGATATTACCCTAGAACAGACACACAAATTTGTGGCTTGAGTATTCATTTTGAGCCGCAGAGCCAATAATTACAGTACATTAGCTATGTAGTGTTTATTGGTGTGCTCCCTTAATTCTTTCCACCCATTTCCAAAAGTATATTAATAATTGCGATACTAACTCTGATTATACTTTTTGTATTTAATTTCCTTCCAATCTCATGGTTTACAACTCCCCTTCCCTATGTGCATACATATACCTGTAACTCAGAATAACACTTAATGCATTTTTGAAGTAGTCTGTTTTCCACTAAAGCTTATGCCCTATTCAATCTGTTAGGCATTGCAGGACTCCTTGTTGTTTTTGCTGCAGCAGTTTATCATGGCTAAACTTCTGGAATTAGTAAGATTAATGTCGTAAGATTAATGTATCACACAGTTGTCTCCTGTGCAAAATATTTCAGCAGGCTTTAAAGAATTCGCATGCATCAAAGCCAAAGAAGAATGAAAGAGAACTAGATTTAGAGAGGAGTAGTATTTTGGAAGGGAATGGTGGTTGCTGAGCTTGATCGAACCACACAAGGGAGAAGCGATCATTTCCAACTTTGGACAGTGAACCAATTGCTTACATTTTCACCATTCAAAGAATGTGGCCTATTTAGCATTGCAAATTTAGAACTGATTATTTGCATTGACTGCCTGGAGTTTTAGTCTGTCTCATCTCACACCTCCCCCATGTCTCTGCCTCAGTCATTCTCAGGATCACAAAACATTGCATCCAGCTCAGTCATTTGCTGCCAGTGGGCCATGACATCAAGGATCACCGCTGCCTTGTTTGGGCATTTTGATCCTGAACAGGGTAAACATGTGAGACGGAGTGCTCCACCTCCACCCCTTTTTTCTCCTCATGTTTGTCATGCTCATGGAGAGGAACTATCTGAAGGGAAGAGCCATTTCTATTTCGTGAGGCTGCCCACAAGAGCCAGAGATGTTCCAGCATTTCATGCGCATGTGGAGAACCTTGATGTTGTCAGCAAATCCCAGGATTTCAGTTTGTGAGGTGGAAATAAAACTCGGGTTCGTGGGGAAGATCAAGCGTTCAGACCATCTGTGGCTTTATTGTTTGGCCCAGGTTTGTGTGGTAGACTCACAATAATGCATTACCGGGCAGGCAGAGGTAAACTCCTGCAAAGTTTCAATACAACTACAGGGTATTTTATACCCTCCCGGTCACGTACACAGGTAGTGCACAAGTACAGAGCAATTGATGACAGAATGCAGACATTACAATAAGATTCTGGGGTCATCACATACAGAACAAATAAAGGAATGTCAGTCAATCATACAGTGACAATGAGATTACAATATTTCTAATAGCCATGTATTGACAGTTTAGTTGAGTATCTTGAACCCATTTCCAGGTCTGCTTAGACATGTAAATTCAAGCTACTGAGAAACTATTCACGAACTTATAAGCTCATCTAGACTCAGACCCTAAGTAATGCATCTGTGCCATTCTGAATGGTCAGGGCACATGGAGCCCTCTGGGCTAGCAAAAGATACTTCCTGGTAAACTCTGAATTCCAACAATGATTATTATTTAATCATTGTGAAGGTATATAATGTATATTTGGACTAAATGGCCTGTCTACTGTAGCTTAAAGCTAAAGGTGAGAGAAAGGAGTGGCGGAGGAATGCAATTTTAAACAATGACTTAGCTTGGAAAGCTGGTGCTTTTGAGAAGGAGTACAGGATTGATTCCGCAATGCAAAAGCACACAGAAGCAATGTTTTTCTGACAGGATTTATCCAAATTTTCCCAACAATGTATGGAATGGGCTCTCCTTTTCAGATAGTCTCCTTCCCTGAGTAGAGAGCAGCGAATGTACAGAAGGAGTAAGGTGGAGCTGATGCTCTCCTTTCATGCATCTGTGCATGTGTCTCATGCACCAAACAGGGCTTAGCTGACGGTGATGCAAGATCTGGCTTATGGTGACGTTTTCCCCATAGGGATCCTCTATTAGGGCGTTTAGGTTGTTACGCAGGTAATCTACAGCTCTGCTTGGTAATGTTATCGCTGTGATGCATTGGGCAGTTCTAGCAGTTCTTTCTCTTCCTCGAGTTTTAGAGTGTCTGCTACAGGAGTGAGCACAGTGTCGTCCCATGTGCCTGGGCCCTGTGCAGTGTTGTGTGTATACTTATGATGCCAATACAGTGCCATGTGTTGTGGTACTACATCAGCACAACAGCCTCCCTGAGATCCTTGCAATGCATTCAACCAAAAAGGTGTTTTTTTAAAGTAACCAAACAGAATGCTTTGTGATAAATATCTTATCACAAAAGCATCTATACTTCACTGGGGCAGAGTGATGAAATGATTGGGCCCATCCAGTCTGTCTCCCTAGCTGATTCTCTGAACTTCTTCCCTTCCATAGCACTTCAGCTTTTCCCCCAGTAAATAAGAACAGTATATTAGGACACTGTTATATGGATTAGCTCCACAACTGATGCTTATACTCACAGGTTTGTAAATCAAGCACAAGTACAACTTAATCTGGTTATTTACTCTGTCACTTGCTTGGTTTTATGAGCCTATTTTTAGGAAGCAGCAGTGTCTCATTTGAAAATCTTCTGAATTTCTCAAAGACCAGTTTTATTTATTTGTTATTTATTAGATTTATACCCCCCTCTTTTTTCTTTAAAGAACTCAAAGCAGCTTACATCATTCACCTCCTGCTGCACTCAGTCTTGTACCCACAACAACAACCCTGTGAGGTAGATTGGGCTGAGAGTCTGTGGCTGGCCCAAAGCCACCCAGCTGGCTTCATGGACGAGTGGGGACTAGAACCCAAATCACCTGAGTCCCAGTCCTACACTCTTAACTGCTTCACCACATTGGCTCTCAACAATTTTGGTGTGTTTGCTTAGAAGCAAAAATCTCTCATATACATGCACACCTCTCTATCCCTCTGTCATGGGATTCAGAGCACCGTTACACTCCTCAGAGTGTTACGCTGTTATCCCATTAAGTTGCCCATATGCCTTTCAGTGGAAACCTCAGCCAAAAGCAGAAGGAAGTCATTAGAGGTGAGTGCCTGTAGTCCGGCAGGACATCCTGCTCATACAGTGGGAATTTAGTGGTCCCAGAGCAATTTGAAATTAGCCAAATCCTTCCTTCCCAGAAAGTTGCAGATCAGCCCTGTTCCAGAAATGAGTGTATGTGCTTATTTTTGAAGTGCCACTTTCCCGTTGCACAAGTGTCTGGTTCTGTGAATGCCACAGAGCCAGTGGTTGTGGCACAGTCGTGTTGGATAGTGCCCTCGGTGTGTAGTGCAGCGTTCTAATCTTTTTTGCATTCGATATTTCAAGTGAAACTCTTTCACACACAAGAAGACAATATCCGGCTGCTTGTGCTGGAGGCAGAAACTAAGCAGATGCAGCTACTTCTCTCCGTGTGTTTCTTTATCAGGAAAGCAGTGCCTGTTGAATTTTCTGCATGTCACAAAGCTGCTAGGGAATCATGGGAGTCATTCCAAAAATAAAGCTGCCAGCCCCACTTAGTAGCTGGAAGGGATGAAATTTTAACAGCCAAGATAGGAATTTAATGCCCATTAATACCTCTTGTGGCGTTGATCTACAAGACGATGATTCAATACTAAAAGCTTTACAAATGCTTCAAAAATGAAATGGGTCTGTTTGGGGAAAGATCAAGGTGACAGATAGCTGTCTGTGGAACCTTGTTTTGCCTAGGCTGATCTAACAGCATTGTATTTGGGGTGTTTTGGTAGGGTTTGTGAACTTGAAGAGCTGGGAGAGCTGTCTCCTTGTTGGGAAAGTCTTCGTCGGCAAATAGTTACTCAGTACCAAACAATTATTCTGACTTACCAGGAAAACCTCACGAATCTTCATCAATACAAAGGTAAGTGGCATCTTTTTTCTATACTGCAAAATGGCATGTTTCAGTTGTGTTTAAATTATTAAAAATAATAACTTATGTTATCATTTACCTTTTCTTTAACATCAGGGTGGGGAATTTCAGGTCTCTGGGGCTAAATATGGCCCTCCTGGGATATAAGTCTAACTCTCTGAGAAATAGCCCCACCTCCTAGCCTTTATATTTGCTTTTTTTCCCAGCTTGTGTGAAGTTTTACCCCCACATTCTAAATTTAATCATCTTTCCTGAGGCTTAGTTACTAGCAATAAGCCCTGTAAGCTATAATAGACTTCCATTTTTTCCTGTTTTTGGCTTCACCTCTGTTGCTTCTGCCCCTGATGTTTTCACTCCAGAGGGCCTCTTCAAAACTGAGTTTGGATCTTGGGCAGAAGGAGGTTCCTCACTGCTGCTTTAGGGGCAAAATGGAAAGCAAAGCAGGGTGGGCACAATCTTCTCACCTCATAGGTGCAATCACACTCAGTTATGCTCTGTTTTAGCCCTGCCTGTGTGTCGGCAACAGGATAGGATGTTAGGGGAGTAAGGGGCCTGTGCACACCTCTCAGGTCTCCTCCATTCAGCCCACTATCTCTGCCCGGTGCAAGTTTCCAGAGGGAAGGCTAGAGCGGGACATATGGGACTCTCATTCCCCAAGTGCTTGTTAGTTTAGGATGTACACCTTGTCTTGCAAACACCAAGGGCAGCTTTCAGCAATCACTCAAACAATAAAATACAGACAACCCCCAAATTACAATAGAGCTGTAAGAGGGGGAAAAATCGGATCCAGGCAAGAAGAGCAGCAGAAGAAAATGGCAAAAAGTCTTGTTAAATACCATTAAAGGACAAGACAATAGCAGGGGTCTTGGCTGACCCATAAGTGAGATCAAAGCACTGCTTGTGTACATGAAAAAATGGAGAAAGGAAGCAAACCAGGGCTCGGGGGCGGCGGGAGGTCTGTTGAGAGTCTATGTGGGCACTGTGTCATTTGTGCAAGTCCCTCAGTTTCTCTCATCTCCATTCTGCTATCTGAGGTTCTGACTACTCTTTTAAAACAAGCTGCCTCTCGCCACTAAGGACCAAACTAGAGGTGGCAACACTGCCTCTGTGTGCTATATTGTCTCAGTTGCATAGGAAGATGGGGTCCTATTTTAACAGCAAAAGGGGCTGGTCCATCCTGGCCACGTCCCCTGCATACCTCCCTGTAGCTCCAAGCTTTTTTGGCCCAGCCAAGTCTATATCTGGCATACTGAAGAGAAAAGAAGTCAAACAAAGAAGTGGTACGATACAAGCTATCGGTTTACCTCCCAATGGGGAAGGATCTGCACTTTTCACTGATGTGCTTTTTTTGACATTAAAAGTAATCCAGAGAACTGAATTCCAGTTCCCTCTCATCCCTGAAATTCACTGGGTGACTTCGGGCCCATCACTGAACCTTAGCCTGATCTACCGTGCAGGGTGCTTGTAAAGATAAAATGGGAAAGTAGTATCCTGTTAAGTCACCTTAGGTTCCATGGAGGAAGACACGGTGTCTAGTGTGGGAGAGGCCACGATCTCTCTAGGCAACTGGTTCCACTGTCATATTGCTCTGACAATGAAGAAAATGTTCCTGGTATCTAAATCTGGGTAGTGGCAACTTGAGTTGATTATGTTGTGTCCTGCACTCTGGTATCAGCAAGAAGAGGTCTTGACCTTCCTCTTTGTTGCAGAATGGTATCATGTTCCCTCTCAGCCTTCTCTTTTCAAGGCTGATCATAGCCAGTTCTCTCAATCTCTGCTCATAGGGCAGTGTTTCCAAACCCTGGATCATTCAACACCACCCCCACCTCCATCCTCTGGACTTTTCCCATTTTTTGCTGCATCTTTTTAAAATCTTGGTGCCCAGAACTGGACACAGTATTCCAGATGGGGTCTCATGATTTGGAAGTAATACTTCTCTCAATGCATCCCAAAATAGTATTTGTCCTTTTTGCAGCTGCATTGCATTTTTGGCTCATATTTAGCCTACTGTCCACAATAACTCCGAGGTCTTTTTCCTTTTCAGTTCTGTTGAGCCACATATTCCCCATCTTGTATCAGTGCATTTGGTTTCTTTTTCCTAGGTGGAGGACTTGGCACTTGTTCCTACTGAATCTCAGTCTGTTGCTTTCAGCCCAGAATTCAAGTTTATCAAGATCATCCTGGATCTTCATTTTGTCTTCTAGGGTGTTCGCTATTCCACCCAGTTTAGTACTGGCGGCAAATCTGATTATCTTTGCTTGTACTTTCTCATCTAAATAATGAAGAAAGATGTTAAAGAGCACTGGGCCTAGGTCTGAACTGGGCTATCTCTCACTTTCAGCTTGTATTCACTCTTGGTTGTAGATTTTCTTGTGGGAGAAGACTGAGGCAAAGTAGGAATTGAGCACCTCTGCGTTCCCTAGTCATCTGTTATCATTTGGCCACCCACTAAGTAGCTTGACACCTTTCTCTTTCACATGTCTTTTGTTCTGAATGTATTTGAAGAAGGTTTTCTTGTGTGCTGAGCCTCCCTTGTGATTCTCAGCTCATTTCCTGCTTTAGCCTTCCTGATGCCATCCCTGCAATTCCTTGCTATTTGATTATATTCTTCCTTTACAGCCTCACCCTGTTTCCACCTCCTGCACATGTTCTTTTTTTCCTTCAAATTGTCACTTAACTTTTTGCGGAGCCATGCGGGCTTCCTTTGTTGTCTTCTACACATTATTACTCTTCTTCAAACTTTTGTTTAGTATGTTTATATCCTGGGTCAGTTCTTACAATACAACAACCTGTTGTGGATTAATTTAATTTTGAAGAACCATGGAAGACTGTAGCTTATGTGAAGGCTGTGTAACTCTCAAATCACCTACACTGGCCAGCTTTACACAACATGACAAGCTATGGCAACCCCTGTCCAGGGGTTGTATATTGATAATAAGAGTTGGTATATGTGGTGTAAACCATTCCCTGTATCCCTCCCCTCCCCTTTCTTTTACTTGAGAAAGAAGGAGATTTTAAAGCAACACAAATTACTTTACTTTTCCTGACTTCAGAATATAACAACTAAATAATAATGATTTCAGAATTATGCTAGACTTCTATCTTGACAATGAACTGCAGAAATTTAGCAGATAATGTCAATGATACTCCATTCCAGAATTTTATCCAGGCTCTTGCAAGAGCTTTTCAGAAAGATGACCTCTGTGTATATGGTTGCCTGGGGCTCCTAAATACAATGAGCAGATCATGCATTTCTCCACATTCTGCAGAAAAGATGTAACTTTCTTTTTGTAGTGCACGAGTTGTAGTGGAAAACCTTGGCTAGAAATCCTTGATTTGAAAATATTTGCAGTGCATTTTGAGCTTGGAAAGTGCTGAATGATTAACTATGGTTATAATGAAAAATATAGGGATTACAAGTGTTGGTATATCTTTTGATATATCTTTTTGCATTAAACGTTGTCAACTACAGGCCAGTGGACCAAATCTGGCTCCCAGGGGCATCTGGCTCCTCGGAGCAAAAGAAGGATGTAGGTAATACAAAGGAGTTTGGACTCTTGGCTCTTTACCCCGACCCCATTATCAGCATGACCCTGTAGGAAATTAGTTACTAATGTGAACCTTATGGTATAGTTTCTGTCCTCCAATTTGTTTCTGCCATTCCCTCTTAGTGGTTGTATCTTTGTAGCTTAAATGTGCAGAAATTACCCTCTTCTTGTGTGTCCTCAGGACCATCATTCAAAGCAAGTAGCCTGAAAGCAGATAAGAAGCTGGAATTTGTTCCTACGAATTTACACATACAGCGAATGAGAGTCCAGGATGATGCAGGATCAGGTACCTTTTCTCACTCACGTATCATGTATACCAGAAGCAAACTCACTTCTTTGGCCATAATTATGTAGCTAAAGCAGCATCTTTCATACACAGGAGATGTTTCAGCATGTGGGGATTACAGGAATAAAACTGATTTTTAATGGGAAACCTGAACCAAATGGGGACTGAACATGTTCAGTGGGCACAGAATGCTAACCAAATACGGAAGGAAAAATGCAAATCTAGGGGATGGAATGGAGTAGCCTGGAAAAAGGCACAGGCTGCTGGAACCCTGAAGAGGAGAGCTCAAATGCTGCAGTGTTCTGTTGCAGGTCCCAGTAGTTGGGGTAGAATATGGAGATATTTGGGTTTAGCTTTCCTGTCATGTGGTTCTTGGTAGTGTAGGAAGAAATGCTGAAGAACTGGAGGAGGGTGAGTGGATTTCTACCTCCTGGACAGGACATGGAGTTAAAACATATCCAGGAACAGATACTTGTTGGTTAGAAAAAAGCTTGCTTCATTTTATTCATTTAATTTCTATGCCTCCTGTAAGCCCAAAACAGCTCTCTGGGCATTCTGCAGGGTGGAAATAATCAACAGCATAAAATAAAATGCCAGTAACAAAACCAGTAACATTAAAATTAAATATGCATAATATAAAAACAACAGCAGGCCTACAACAACTGCATTCAAGTTAGTCTAGAGGTATAGCAGCGAACAATAAATATAACATTAACACAGAAATAAAATAGCTTTTTAAAGAAATTAAATCATTTAACTATTAAAATGTTGGGTGAAGACAAAGGTATGCCTGGCACTGAGAGGAATAGAGAATAGGTGCCAAGCACATCTCTTTCCAGAGCTGATTCCACAGTCAGGATACCATAGCTGAAAAGACCCTTCCTCTAGGTACCACCCTCCGTATTTCTTTAAGAGGGGGCACTCTGAGAAGGATCTCAGACAGTGACCTCAGGGTCGGGACAGGCACTTATGGGAAGAGGCGTTCCTTTGATAGTCTGACCCCAAGCCATTTAGGGCTTTAAATATTAGTGTTAGTACTTTGTAAGGGGCCTGGACTTCAACTGGTAACCAATGAAATTGGTGGAGAACTGGTATAATATGTTCATATCTGCCAGTCCCTGTCAGCAGATTTAGTTACACAGTGCCAATATGTTCTTTTATATGAAGTAGGCATGAAGAATGTTGTTTCTTGCATTCTTGGCCAGTGTTGGTGCGGGCATGGAGAATGTTTACGTGACTGGACATTGCTGCAGTGAACAGCTCCCTCATTTAAGAGCTTTGCATCTCCAGTGGCCTCCCACAGATGAAGTGAAGTGAACTGGTGCACACTTGATGGACTGAGAAACTGTTAGAGATGTTACCCTGACAGAATTTTTACATAACTCTATCATGGATATCAGAGCAGAACACTTGGAGCACCTTCCTAGAAGTGACCTCCTGTAATCTTTACTGTTTGCAAAGGCTTTGTAAGGGTAACGAAGTAGTCAGCAGAGCTTTCTGGTGTGTTGAACTGCAAATCACATTATTCCTAGAAACTATGTGCATTGCATTCCAAAGCATCTGGAAGCCAATAGGTTTAAGGAGGCTGATGGAGCAGAATACTGAAAATGGCAATTTCATAGCATTTCCACAGGCTTGCATTCTAAGTCAAGTTTACAAACTTCCCCCTTTAACTCCCTGCTCTCTGCCCTCATTGCTTGTCCATTTAGATCAGAATTATGACATCGTAACTATAGGGGCACCGGCTGCTCACTGCCAAGCCTTTAAAGCTGGTGGCCTGCGGAAAAAGCTGCATAAATTTGAAGATGCAAAGAAACAGTAAGTAGAGCAAGCCTTTTCCTGTGGCCTTGGTTTTATAAAGCGCTTCTCATTACTTGGTTTTGATACCACACAGGAAGCTTCGCTCCACAGCCAAGATGGTTAAGTGTGGTTTATGCAAAAAGTGAGACAGAAGAAGACAATTCTGGGTTTTTTTTTGACTAGTAATTTTACTTTAGCTTTTAGTACAATCTTTTGTATTAATGAATGCTTCCTAAGCCATTTTTATACTGAAGTGCCAGACTTTTCTGTGCAGAGGTGCAAAGGTTAGGCCTGCATCCTGCATATGAATTTGCTGCCATACCCAAGTTGGATTTAGGCTGCTCTGGGGCTTTGCCTCGAGATTCTGAAACTTGATAGAGGCAGCTCTTCTCATGGCCCCATCTGCTCCTAATTGAGCAACCGCACCATCACTTCCTGACAATGGCTGTTTAGAGTGTGGTAGCACATTTGCTGTGTCACTTAGTAGAGCTTAAAATAGCAGGGCAGGTGCTGGGATTGGGAATGGGATTTGGATTGCGATGGCAGAAAGATCACGTGGGTGGTCTCTTTTTATTTGCCTTGCAGAGCCCCCCCCCCCCACTTCCACAAACATCTGGAGACCCGTACAAATATACCTTCTAGTCATACTTTTGATAACCAGACATGTCAGATAATCTTATTTGAAAATGCAAAACATGCAGTGTTGAATACTGCAGTTTTCTTTTTGTGTTCCCCCACAGAATATGTTCAGTTTATTTAAGAAACATATCCCGATCATGCTTGTTTTCCATTTCAACACAGTTTTAAATAAATATGTAATTGGTATGGATATAATAATATAAATGTAATAGGTCTATATGTTCTAATCTTTGGGTTTGTTGTTCTCTATATATGCAAATACAGTTTTCCTCTGAAATGAAGGTTATCCTGATTTGTCTTACTTATTTTGTTTCCATAATTCCTAAAACCTGCCAGTTCTGATTTCCCTACTACAGCTACTTATTAGACAGCAGAAAACGAGTGTGTGTTATTTTTCCTGTTCCAATGAAGCCTGCGTGACTAGCTTCAGTCAGAGGAAACACATTTTCTGGGCTTCTCTAGTGGCTGGCTGACTTAGCCAATAGAAGTGCAGCAGTGATTCATACTTCTGCTATTTGGGGTCTTTTATGGTATTTTATGATAATACTAAGACTCAAACTACATGTTACACTGATTCTGTAACACAAAGCTCAACCTATGCTTCTCTCTCGCTCCTAATCTTTTCTTTTTTTTACTCAAGAGTTAGTGCATACAGGCCAAGATTTGGATTGGGAGCACCATACACTAAAGGGAAAGGGTTAGAGTTTCCAGTCCCCCATCATTTGCTTCCCCAAATTGCTTCCTCCATAAGGAGGGGGTTTACCAAAATTGCAAAAAGTTCTATGTGGACTCTAATAGAGACCTTTTCTTTCTTTATCTCCCTTACAGTGAAGGAAGGGGGTGGGTTCAGGAAACGTGTGCGTGTGTGTCAGTCTAGGTTAGTCCTTAACTCTGGTGAGTGATGGTCTGAGCTGAATTAGAGATGCACCCATTTACACCTCAGTTAAAAAAAGGCTCTTCCATACTTTATGCAATTAATGTCAATTGACTTTCAAAATAGGGTTTATGGGTTTAATCAGTGGTAAGAGGCAAACTCAAGTGCAGTCATATGCAAACAGACATGCTTGAATTGCCATGGCACCTGTGCTGTGAGCTCTATGGAAGGGCACTGGGGAAATGTTAGGCCTGAAGGGCCCAGGAATGTTTTTCATGCAACAAAGAGATCCTGTACAAAGAGATTCTTGTTTTAGGGTCCTAAAACTCTAAATTCTTTTCACTGGGTTGTGGGTGGTGGTCAGCTGGATAATTGCCTCTGCAACTGGCGTCCATTAAAAAAAAAGTTTGAAATACTTATTCCTTATTTGAACAGCTCAGTGGCAAATCAGTAGCCCTGAAACATGCAATGTTGAGATTCACATCATTGTAAGTCACCTATCCTGATTTCAGCCAGGCTCAGCCCCACTTAGCTTCCAAGAGAAGGCAAGGTCAGGCATTTCCGGCTGTACAACAGCTGTTTGTGCCCTTAGCCCAAACGGGGATCTTGCACTAAAGTTCAGCACCTTGAACTCCCAGCCTTGGCAGGGGCAATGTTCGGAGGAGCTGCCTGCTGCCAAAGCTGGAAGTGGAATTGGGCTTCAGGGCAGGAACCCTGTTTGAAGTGTGAGGACCAAGAATTTAAAAAAAAAAAATCTTTGCCAACAGGGCTCCTGCACGGAAGTGCAGCAGAGAGAACGAGTTGATGGAGCACTGCTGCTCTGTTGAACAGATTGGACATCCCTGCCTTCTCCCACTCTCCTGCTCAGGAGTAGATGTTTCAGCAGGGAGAGGTGAGGGTGTCTGAGTTTTGGAAGTGTGTTGCCAGCTCCCAGCTATCCTTGAGTTGATCTCTCCAGCCGCCAGGAAGGATGTCCATGCCCCCCAGCGGAGAGGGCCTAGGCTTTTCTGCTTGAGCCACTGTCAAGGATGGCCACTCGATATCTGCGCAGAAGGGGAAAGCTTCTGAAAACGCGCCCCCCCCCCCCGCATACTGCTTGGGGGCTTTGGAGGCTGCTGTCAGTGCTGCTCACCTGGCAGCTGCTTGTCAAGAGCGGCAAGGGAGTTTTTGCTGCTCTTTCCCAGCAGCTTGCTGGCTGTTGAGGCTCGCACACAGTGGATCATGTAATCTGTGTCTGGACAACACAACACCTTGGGTTACAAGAATCTTAGAACAGCCCATAGGGACTTCAGGGTGGCTTGTTTAAAAAAACTCGCTCTGGGTGAACTGGGTTGTAGTCTCACAGCATGACAAACCAACCTACTGTAGCAAACAAGAGTGTGTTGTCATGTCACTTGAACCAGGTTCCAAAGTCAGGCTTAGGTATAAGTCTCTCTTCCCAGTTTGTTTTGGCTCTCCAATGATCAAACAATCACTATCATTATAGTTACCAATATGTGATGCCTCAGTTTTATTGGAAGCTAGAAAATAAAGCCCTGATCTGCCAGGCTGAGCCTACATGTTAATTTTTTTCCAAAGAGTTTGCCTAGGGTAGTCAGGAGAACTAAGCAAAAAATTTTGCAAGCACACCAGTGGAAGAGGAGACAAGTTGGTACTGGCCTGGAGCTGTTGCAATACTCATGGGAGGAGCAAGGGGAAGAGGGGGCAGTCTGTGGGTTGTTTGGGCAATGGCCAGCACACTCTGGCTTATTGCCAGAGTGGGTTACCAGGATGGGTGAACCTGCTTCTGGGTAAGTAAGTATGCGTCACTGTAACACATTCATGCTTGAATTAACAAGGTGTGGTTAAAACCGAAACAGATTATGTCCACATGGTTTGCATACTCTGCCCTAATTTACGGTAGATCATTGGCATACCAAGATTAGAACAAATCTTTTCCCCATTTTAAAAAGTATGGCTTTTCTTATTTAAGGAGGCCCTTTCTGTACGACCTTTCCGCAGGTGCACATCTGTATAGTAAACCTTGGTCCAGGATTTTTATTGTTATCTGTGCTCTCACAATAACTCCTTGGATACTTACAATCCCATACTGCAGCCCTCTCCAAAGATACTGGGTATTTGCGATGCCTGTATTGCATGGCTGAGCATGTGGGGAGGGAAGCCATGCAGCCAGCTGGATTTGCTTCTGGACTCAGTTTCTGCTCCACTGTATCATCTCCAGTGCTGCCTGCCTGCTGGAACTCTACTGGTCACAGCAATGGCATGGGGTTTTTGTGTCTGCATGGGATCATTAGGCAGTCCTTGCATAGGTCAGGTTCAAAGAGTGCAGTTAAGGGAACCTCAAGGGTTGGGTATGCCTTTGCCCACCCAGTGTTTGTTTGTTTGTTTGTTTGTTTGTTTGTTTTAAACTTCAACCCACCCACTTGGGACAGACAGTCATGCCTGCTGAACGTTCAGTTATAAAAATCGGGGAGGGTGATGACTGATCTCAGCCATAGATTTTTGGTTAATGCTGCCAAATGGAGGAGCTACACACACATTTTGCATTCAGAAGCCCTTTTGCAGTTCTGCTCCTGGGCCTGATGTAGCCAGAAACCTATGGGCTGCAAGTCATCTGCCATTCTGCATTCACTGTGATTTTGTTTTGCTCACATACCTATTTAGTGATAAGAACAAATCTTACTGGAAATTTTTAAGAACAATTAACATTTCTCTGATGTTGCTTTGCTTTGTTTTTTGCTTCTGGTATTTGCTAACAAATAATGGCTAATTTTTCTTTGGTTTTTGCTTTTTTAGCAGTTATGAGGAATGTTGGTGAGTTTTCCGTTTCTGAGTTTCAGGTCAAACTTTGTTTTTAATGGCGAAATGTGTTGACATTCAGAGGGTTATTTGGTTGTTTTCAGTGATTTGCATCCTGGCCCTTCATAATTTTGTGTCATTAAATTAGTATGTATGCTTCAAGTTGACCTTTCTGCTTGCATTGCTTGCTTTGGTAACGAACAGCTAACATTTGTAAATCATTGTTGGTAGCTGGAACACTAGATGACAATTTAATTGGAATACTTCAACTTGCTTAGGTAACTGTATTTTGTTAGAAGCAAAAATATTCAGAAAGCTACATGAGTTTTTTTCCTCCCTAGATATATTAATAGCATTTTATATTTGCTGTTTAAATATTTCAACTATATGGTGATACAGTGGATGTTTGAAGGATACTTTTTATTTAATTTGTAAAAAAAAAAAGAGTTGGAGTTCAAAGTGCCCACAAATCATACTGCCTTGCTGGAAGCCCTTATCCATATCTTTCTTGATATGTTGGAGTTAACATATCAGTGAGTCCTGGTGGTAAAATAGGTCCCCAGGTAAACTATAGCTCAGTTTAAATATTGAGAATTAGATGATTTTCCTGTGGGCGCATTAAGGATCTCAGTCACAGATTTTTGGATATACACATATAGTTCCCCTGTTTACAGTGGCTGTACAGTGGCTTCCTCATTTCCATGGAGGAAGCAGACATGCAGAAAGGAATGCGTAGCCAGATCCCTTTCCTCATTTAAAGGAATGGGGTAGCTTGTACATTCAGAGCTTATGTGTAGCCCTGGCTGAAGTCTAGACTGGAATATAGGTTGAATATATGAACCAGTGGATGCTTCCATGCAGGGCTTTTATTGTGCAGCCGTGCTGCTTAATTCATGGATTTTTTGTGGGGAGGGGGCAGTTGCCATCATCTTCAATTTGTAGCTCTCTGTGTCTTCATCTTTTTATCTGTCTGCATAAAATCTTTCAAGGAAAAGCAAAGTTTGAGCAGTTGCAAAAATACAATTTTATTATTATTTTAATATTTATATGTAAAATAGATATTTTAATATTGATATCCCACCTTTTTTCCTTTCAAGGAATCCAGGGTGGCTTACATAATTCTTCTCTCTCAATCTTATCCTCACAGGGTTGGGCTGTGAGTTCATGGTCAGCCAGATAGATGCCCTTGAGGTCAGTGGGACTACACTTGGTAGGGTTATAGAACAGGGTCCTTAGATCTCTTCTCTGTAGAATTGGTGCAACAGAAATGTAAGGTTTATTCTGCAAACTAGTTGTATAAGGACTCACTTTCCCTTATGAGTACCTCAAGAGCTTCAAATTCAAATGATTTATTATGGTATTCCAGTTCATCATTGTGTGTACTAAAAGCATTGCCCAGAAACATACTTTAAAACATCTTGTAAATTTTCCCATGAAAACACTCATGTTGAGCTTTTCTGTGCATCTACAGATAAAGGTAAAGCAGTAAGATGATCTGAGGTTTAAAAAAAAATAAAAAGGATGATAGCTGTTCATTTGGGAGAATGGATGCAGAAAGCTGATACATTTGTGGACCTCATGCCATCAAATCATTTATTTCCTCTCATTTTGGCAACTGATTTGCTTGCTTGCTTTTTAATACAATCCTTACTAGTATAATGCTGCATGTATTTTGTTAGCAGTTCTGTTCTAATTCTGCATGATACTTTGTTTGTTTGTTCCATTTCTATACCACCCAATAGCCAAAGCTCTCTGGGTGATTTACAGCAACATATAAAGTAAACCAATGACAATACAATACTTCCCACATAATGTGAGAAAAATGGCTGTTCTTAAATCCAGACATTTCAGCGTGTCTAAAATCCTTAAATACCTGCCCTCTGTGGATAAAGGGAATGCCATCCTTAAAACTGATGTTCAGGAGATACCTAAATGATCCAAATCCTATGTAGATTATCTCTCTGTCTCAGTCTTAAATGAAAGCCTGCATTAATCACTTCAAATACCTTGATCAATGCAAATTTACTCTTTGAGTTTTAGTAAACCTATATTTCTCAATCAGTTGTTTTAAGACGGGGCTGGAGAATCTGTGTCCCAACCCTGGCCAGTAGCGGGGGATGCCAGGAGTCATAGTCCAACAGCATCCGCAAGTCTACAGATTTCCCGCCTTAATAAGCAAGCTTGAAAATTAGAATGTAGTCTGAGGAGACTTTAGAGGTATTTGAACTAAGCTAGAGAGGTGTGCCACAAGATTCAACCCCCCCCCCCCCGGCCACCCCAAGTGTTATTCTTGAAAAACCCATTTCACATTGGAGGTTGCTTTTGAAAATCTGACATGGATTCAGAAGCTGTTTCTGACCATTATGTAGAAAGACTCAGTTTCAAAAGAAAATTATGTGCTTTTGGGCTAATGCCTCCACATAAAAGGACACTCCCTCATCTAGATATTATGTCGATAGAGAGCCTGACCAAAAGATTGAGTATAACACACTGACGGGGTTTGAGCACACACTGTGCAAACCAACTCATTTGAGTGGTTTGTCAGTGCAAACCTATTTCACAGAAGTCAAGCCTGTTTTTTCTCTCCCCTGCTTCCTGTGGCAGCACACTTTCTCCCATTTCTTTTTCTTGGTCACCTTAGCTCATCACCCATGAACTGTTTCTGTGTCTCAGACACGCACAGCCATCTTTGCAGGTACCAAGAAAGGTGCCTGGGAATTGCCCAGATGCCTTTGACCACCATGTTGCCTGCCCCTGCCTTAAACCAACATGTACATCTTGTGGCTTGTTAAACTAAAAGCAGTCTAACTGCAGCAGTATATGGTAGTCCATCCTGACAAGGTTTAACATTCCAGTTTGGGACGGCAGACGTATGTGGAGGTATCACGCAGGTGGCAGGTCGTGTAATCCATGGCCAGTGGGCTGTAGTCATGAATTGTATAGGTCTCACTTCAGCTAAGGTAGTGTCTTCAGACTGGCTAGGAGTATTAAAAATGCTCCTGGATAACACCTTAACATTTAGAAACAAGAACCTCTGAGTGTTTTAAATGGAAGTATCTAAAGGGCTTTGAAATCAAATGGATGGGATAGACATTATACTTAGAGCAAAGGCTAGTCTGAATGACTTGGGGACTTTCTTTCAAAATTCTGTCATCATTCAGTGATTGCTGCCTCAGACGTTTGAGCTTCTGTCATCTCTGTGAGAATTCTAAGCAATCTTGTGGCATGTGCAATGTGTACATTCGCATCCATATACTTTCATTAAATACAGGATTGCACCTTCACTGGGTGTCTGAACATGTGTAGTGTGTTGTCAGTCTTTTCTCATTTGGTAATTTGGAGAAACTGTTACCTGCACTTGCTTATTTTTTAGCATGCTCACAAATGAGGTTGCAGTGTCTGTCTCTTCGATTAATTTTTAAAACTAATTCTTTTTGCCACTTCCAGCACTTCAACCACTTCCCAGTCAATAGTGTATATACCACAGGATATTATTCGTGCAAAGGAGATTATTGCACAGATCAATACCCTCAAAACTCAAGTTAGCTACTATGCGGAAAGACTTTCCAGAGCTGCCAAGGACAGATCAGCCAATGGACTTGAAAGAACACTTGCCATTCTTGCAGATAAGGTATGGGATATATAAGCATTAGTCCTTATAGAATCCATCTCAGTTAACTTGAATGCCTCCTTTATTATCTTAAATGAATATGAATCCTGGACTCAAGAGAATATGGCAGTTACTTGTATGGTCCTCTGATGATTGTCCTTTCTGGAAGGCCTGCCAAAGGATAGAAGAGGATTTTCTGGAATTGCTGCATGCTCTTTTAAACATTGTATTTGGGCTACTTTTACCTGGGACAGTGTTGATCTTCTGAATATCTGAGATTTTAACATAATTTCATTCTGAGGTATTATTGTATCTCACCCTAAACCCTGTGTATGAAGTTGGATAGACTTCAGATATGTGAACATAATTTTTAAAAGGCAAAAAAGGGTAGTTAGTAGTGGACAGCTCAATGAAAATATCAGCCCAATGCTCAGCTGCTGTGAAGAAGGCAAACTCCATGTTAGAAATAATTAGGAACGGAATAGAAAATAGAACTGCCAAAATCTTATTTCCCTTGATCAAATCTTTTGTGCAGCTGCACTTGGAAAACTGTGTTCAGTTCTGGTCGCCTAACCTGAAAAAGGAAATTATTGAGTCGGAAAAGGTATAGAGAACGGCAACAAAAATTATCGGGCTGCAGCAGCTCCAACTGCAGCAACTGTTCCACTTAGAAAAATGCAACTAAGGGGAGACATGATAGAGGTGCTTAAAATAATGTTTGATGTGGAAAAAATAGAGGAGGCATTTTTCTTCCTTTCCCATAACACTTGTACCTGGGGTCATCCCATGAAGCTGATTGGTGGAGGGTTAGGACAGATAAAAGGAAGTACTTCTTCACACAGCATATAGTTGAACAGGGAAGTGCTGCCACAGGAAGTGCTGATGGCCTCCAATCTAGATGTCTTTAAAAAAGGGATTGGACATGAAGGAGGAGGCTGTCAGTGGCTACTAGCTTTGCTGGGTATGTGCTCCCTCCTTTAGCTGTGGTGGCCTGCCTGCATGCACCAGTTGCTGAAGAGCCTGGGCAGGAGGAGGTCTTGCCCCCATCCTGTGGGCAGCTGGTTGCCACCATGTGTGTGGATTTCTAGACTAGATGGACCTTGGGTCTGATCCAACATGGCTTTTCTTAAGTTCTTAAAATGCAAAATAGAAATTGATATGGTTGCACTAGAATTTTTCTTAGACTGTTCAGTTTGGAAGTCTGGGGCTTGGTATCAACCTTGTATTCTGGGTATAATATGAATTATTATAGTGATGAGCGGGAGGCAATGCAATCCATGCCAATGCTGCCTGACCTCTCTCCAGCTTGCAAGGTTGGCTTTTTCTTGTCCTGCTATAAAATGTATGTACCCCTAGATAAAGTTATTTGTGAAACAATACGTTTGGAAATAGTTGAAAAATAAGCAATTGGGTTTTTTAAGTGTGTTATTTTTATCATTTTCAGACACGACAGCTTGTCACTGTGTGTGACTGCAAGCTGTTGGCAAATTCTATACATGCACTGAATGCTGCAAGACCAGATTATATAGCCTCAAAGGCCTCTCCAACCTCTACAGAGGAAGAACAAGTAGTGCTAAGGAATGACCAAGACACTCTGGTGGCCAGATGGACAGGACGAAATAGCCGATCTTCTTTGCAGGTTGACTGGCATGAAGAAGAATGGGTAGGTTTCTGAAGTTCTTACACTGCTATAGGACTTGAATGCATCCTTTACACAAGGGAGCAGAGTTCCATGCAGTCATCTCTAGACCTTTTAAGGCAGGCAGTCCAAAGGGTAGTTAAGAAACAGAGATGGAGTGATAACATAGACTACTTTGTTCTTTAGAAGCATTTTCTACAGAAAACAAAAGCTAAGCAATAGTAGCATTGGTAAGTGGAGGAGCATCCAGTAGGACAGCTGTCTGTTAAACTGATATGCTGTTACAAACAGTAGCAGTCCTATAAAGGCAATTTCCTGATTAGGTTTTCATTCAGAATATAACAAAACCTTGAAGGCTTAGTTCATGGTGGCATGAAATAGTTCACCGTTCCAATAGTTTTCTCTAAAAATTTACACAAAGTTTCTCTTTTTCCTGTAAAACAAGAATGTGCAACTTACGCTCTTCAAGGAGTTTTGGCCTACAACTCCCTTTATCCCTCTACATTGACTATGCTTTGTTTTTTATCATAACAGCATTTAGTTGTTGGCATGTTTCATTGTGTTTTCCTTCCCAGGAAAAAGTCTGGGTGAATGTTGACAAAAGTCTTGAATGCATTATTCAGAGGGTGGACAAACTGCTTCAGAAAGAGCGATTACAAAGTGATAGCTATGAAGATGTTTTCCAGTGTGACGTCAGCTGTTCTAGCAAGAAAGGTAAACGGGACACCCGTGCATACTGGATAAAGCCAAACACCTTAAATGAGATTTCATCATCTTCATCATCCCCACCATCATCTTCATCCATGTCATCCTCTGCATGCCATTGCCCCAGAATCACAAGTGCGTATGACAGCCATGGCGTCTTCCTTTTGCTGCTTTGCTTTGCTCTGCTTTGCCGTTCTTCTGAGCTTTTTATCCATCATGCTCCATGTGATTCGTATTAATCAGTATGTCAGCTGCCTTTTATACAATACAGAAGAAATGTGAGATCCATTTTACTTTGGTCCATTCTAAGCTTCTGATATAACCTTTAAATGTCCTGCATCATGTGGATGCAGGACCCATTACACAGGTCTTTTCCAAGCATGTTGCACACCTGTATGCTGAGCTTCCAGGATAGTAAAGGATAAACAGAGTATTTAGAGATTAGGTTGAGTTTATTTTGCTTTGTTTTACATGGAGGTTAAAGGCTGCCAATGGATATTAGTCCCAGTGGCTATATACTTTCTCCATTATCAGAGGCAGTATAACTATGTCCATCAGTTGCTGGGGAACATGGGTGGGCCACATTGCACTCCAGACAAGTTTTTGAGTTTCCCATGGGTAGCTGATTGACCACTTGGCCTGAACAGAATGCTGAACTACACACACCCCTGGTCTTATCCAGCATCACTCTTATGTTTTTACTTGAAACACATGTATTGGTGCTGATCAAGCAGTGAAAGCCATATTTAAGGTTCTGCAAATCCAATTCAAGACTTCCAAATTCAGACTGATGATGGTTTAGCATATTTACTTTCTAGCATACTTTTCTAAAAGCCATTTTAATTGGATGCATATTCTAATATTTAGGCTTGGTATTATAACATTTTCCCTGAGGATTTGAAGCATTATGTATAGGAAATAACTCAAGGGATCAGGTATGCTCTTTCTTCACTCTCAAACCTTACAGTTGAAAACCACAGGATGAGTAGATATTTTCTGGTCCACACAGTTCACAATAAGGGGCATTAAAACTGATAAATTTATTCTGACATGAGTTTGTGTGGACACTGTCTACTAGATCAGATGCTTGAAGTGTTAACCTCAAATTGACTGATTTATATACCTATGCTAGGGATGGGATGGGAATGTTAACTGTGTGGCCAAATGGAACTGAGATGCAAAAATGTACCAACAACTTTGCCATTATTTCAATGGTGAGCAAATAAACCGGTGTAGTGTGAGTTTAAAAAGCATAACAATGCAGAAAAGTTATAATGAAGAGCTCTAAAGGCCCTCCAGTCCAGCCTTCTGTTCACCTGGTAGCCAAGTAGGTGCCTTATGGAAGTTCACAGTAGGGCATGAATGGGATACTATATCAGTAGTGTGGGAAGCTGTCATCTAAGCAAAGCTTTAGGAGACATGGTTGAACCTTTTTAAACTTTATCTATCCCTTTGTCCATTGAATCAATGGTTGGGGAAATGCAACAGGGATGCTTGAGTGGCTTCTTTGTAGGAAGTTTCTCCTTGTGTGCCTGGTGCTACCTCCAGAATGGGCTGCACTAGTGGAAAATTAAGTAAATTTAGTATGAATATCATCAGGCCTTAAATCCCCATTAGAAGCATAACGCCTTCATGTAGAATCCATCAATGACACAGGGATTCTCTGACAAGCAGCAACACCTCTGCAGCCAAAGTGTTGATTTCATCAGCATAACTTCAAAGCAGGTTGGAAAAGTCAGCTAACACCTCTAGCAGAGCAAATGTGAATACAGCTGGAATCCATTAATTTGCAGGACAGGGATTAGTGAAGATTTTTGAAGTAAGATTCCAACTAGATTTTGGGTGCCTGAATGAGCCTGAAAACCAACATGGATGTTGTTTTTGCTTGTATTTACTTGCATATTAACATGAATGGGTTACCTGCTCATGCTGCAAGGCAAAGCCTGAGATGCTCTACAGATTTGCTCTTCAGGGAGGTGTGATTTGAAATAGAAAACCCATGTTCTGTGGGTTTCCCTACTTCCCCTCCTTTGCCACGAGCAGTTCAATGCACCAGTAACCTGACAAAAATAAAACATGACCCAGTTCTTACTTTCGAACAAAATTTATGTTATGATTTACTTGTTCATCCAGCAGCATTCTTGACAGAAGGGGGAAAGGCAGAGAATCTTCATTCCAATGTTTCCTGTTGGAAAAACAATGTATTACAAAAGAGAAGAGCAGTTTGGAAAATACAAAAAAGGGCATGTCAACACATGGTAGTGATTGAAGATGGCATGCAAATATACACAAATCTTGTGAATGCGCCTCTGAAGAATCAGACTGGACCAGTTTCCTGAGACATGTGTGCACCCATGTTTTACAGCTACAGTTACACGTGTGTCTGGTGGCCACATGCAGATGTTTGTTACAGAAACAAACTGCTTTTTCCCCATGGTTATTACAATGTGCAGAGCTGCCCTGCCAAACTACAGATCATGGTTCTATAAAGATAGATGGCAGAATTAAATAGTTCCTTGGCATAGAAGTGAGAAATTTACCTGTTTCATGTGCTTGCATGACATTTCAAAACAAGTCTTTAAAAATATTTAGAAAATGGAATCTTTCTCATACTGTCTCTCATTACACTTCCTTACAATAGTGTTGTGTGTTTGTGATTTCAGTCATTTCATCATTAATATTTTGAAGTACAACATGAAGAAAAAAGTAAAATGCTGTCATATGAAATAACTGAAATGTATCTTTTTTTACTTCTTTGATACAGAACTGGATAAGCATGATTTGTCGGGCCTTCTGTTTATGTGTTACTCCTTCCATATGTTGCTAGACATTAGCAAGATACAAGGATGGAGAGCTCAGTGTGTTGATCTCTTTCAGGGACTTACATAACATGAGAACTAATTATAGTCCTGCTGTTGGCAGATAACAGAATTCAATTTTGAAAGCTGGTTTTTGTTTTGTCTTTTTAACGAAGGAGCTGTGTGAGAATGTGAACCGATTCTGTTGGCAAATTAAGACTAATAAAAGTGATTGCTAAATATTTCCAGAATCACTCATATCAGATGGGTAATTAAGAAATGAATTTCACTCAGTTCAGGCACTATGAATTACATGGGGAAACAACTTGGGACCCTCCATATTTTTTGGCCTACAGCTCCCATCAGCCCTAGCCACCATAGCTAATAGTAGAGTACCATGAAGTTGGCCAAAACATGTGTTCCCCAAAGCTCCAAACAGCTTCTTTTAAATGGGGAAGCATAAAAGGTATTTCTTGGTATAAAGAAATACTGAAAGAAACGGGGAGATGTTAATGTGTGCTCATAGTGCCGTTATACCTAATGCAGTATTTGGTGGCATAGTTGTCCTGTTCTCTTTAGTAGCTACCCTTCCAGCACAATTCCAAACTTGCCAGTGAGTGAATGTGCCCAGTCTGTACTTCCTGATGATCTTCCTTGTAAAATACATACATTTGCAAGCAGTTTTACATTTTCGTGTGTACATGAAGAGTACCTGAGGTGTACACCTTAAAAATGTCATGCGGGTACCTTGTGCACCCGAAATCTGTTCATGTTTTGCTCTTCTATTTAGCTGCTTTCAATGCAAGCCATTAAGCTGGTGGTTCTCAAACGGTATGGCCTGTGGCTCATATACAGCTGTTGCTGGTGGACCATGGAGAGCTGCTGTTGCTCCAACACAGTCCTCCCTTCTCCTTCTAGATTCCAAATGCTAAAAATAATTCAGAACACAGATTTTGTTCTGAGTGTGTAGATTCAGAACATTTTACACAGGAGGAGCAATGGCCCTTGGGACAAACTGTCTATGATGGACCACCATGCCAAAAATGTGTTTGAGAATGCCTGTGCTAAGCATTTCAGTTGCCTATGTTTAAATGTGTTGCTTTCCCCCTTAATCATGCATGTCACACCTCCATTTTTGTGCAGATTGCAGTCCCAATCCTGAAGAGTCCAGCCCAGGTACGTACATGTGTGCAATTTTCCTCCATTCATGGTGTTCACTTCTGAAAAACAGCAAAAGCAAGGGGTCTTCTTTGTGTCTAACACCAAGGACTTTTGCTGTTGCTGTCATGTACTACTACCATCATTTTATTAGCTTAGTAGCTAAGAAAGTAGCTTAGTCAGCTTGGAGCAGGAAAGAGAGCGGAAGTAGCTTATTTTCTGCTCTTTCCCCACTGGTTAATTTTGGCACACAATAATTGTGTGACAGGTGGCCGTGAGGAAGCCATTCAGAAATGTACTGGATGGGAACCCTGCTCCACAGAGCTGCAGGCTTCCATTGTCTCTTCTGTGCGGTTGCAGAATTTAGCCCTTGTGGTCACAGGCCCAAAATGTCTGCCTTTTAGGTAGCTGCTGCATGGCTTACACTCAACTCAGTATAGCATATTTTAATTTGTGAGAGGCGTTCCGTAGACTAGGAGTGGAAAACTGCTTGCAGCATCCATGCATTAACAACACTTGTATGATTTTAATACTTCTGTGGCATTTTTCTGGGTACAAAAATGCTGTTTCTCCCCTCTCCCTTTATAACCCAACATGGTGGGTAAGTCTGAGACCAAGTGACTTCTGCCTGGTGAGGTCTGTGATTAGGAAGACTTGCATCTGCATCCAGACGTAGTGAACATTATTTGCATTACTCTGATAGCAGTGGAAATTCTCTCTTTTTTCAGCAGAGACATGAGTTGCTGTGTAATATCTGAATGGGGCAAGGAAAACCTTTGAATTTATTTATTTATTTATTTATTTATTTATTTATTAAAACATTTTTATGCCGCCCCATTCACCGAAGCCTCGGGGCGGCTTACAACAATAAATTAAAAGTAATTATAATAAAAATTACAATAAATATAAACATTAAATTAAAAGACAAAAATACAATATAAAATAAGCCGCCCTGGCCAGATAAAATTGCTCCTCATGTCTTTAAAAAAATTAAAGCAACATTGAGATTTGCAAGTATGCACATATAATTTAATGTTTCCCTTAGTTTTAGCCATATAACCAGATAACATGATCATTATTTTGAATTTCTATCAATTTAACTGGGCTAAATAATTTTTACGTATTTCTGTCTGCTGGAAATAGCAGTGTTTGAAGAATGTGGTTTTATTCTTTAAAAATATTTTAATAAAAGGTTTTCAGAGAAAATATATCAAAGAAAATGGCACTGATTTCTAATTACATTAAATTGCTCTTTTAGGGCAATTGTTTTTTTTAAGTGCATCATAAAGAACAACTTTCCTGTTTTTAAAGGAATCCAGTTGTGAGTCAAATAAGCTATCTAAACTTATTTTGTTGGATTATCTATCTTCAAGATGGGACACAGATTTTAAACATATAACATTGCTGATCTCGTCTTTTATTTGTATTAAATCTCCCCACCCACACACAATTTTACATAGTTTCCCTTTGTTTGGACGACTGTTAAGGAACTAAAAGTACTATCCCTTTAACATTTTTATAAAAGTTAATTGTAGTTCTAGACAAAGACCTGATAGCAGCTTTTCCTATCTTAATAATTACAGACTTTGCTCTAATGCAAGCTAATAGCTGTTTGGCTTCCATTTGTGTCCTTTTGTATTTCAAAACTTTGTGGTATGTATTAGGAAGCTATATATGCATTCTACTTTGGAAGTAAAGGTTTCACTGGGCACAGTTTTGGGATAGCTTTTAGTAAAGAGGTAAAGGGGACCTCTCCAAGTTGAATACTTTCCAATGCTACTTCCTGGAGACATGCTGAGCAGTATGTTTTGTATATTTTGCTTACCATTCTACATAACAAACAGAATGAAAACATTCTGCTGTTTTTTGGCAGAAAGTTGGAATAAAAATTAAATAAATCGTTTTGAGATAATTTACAGGTGGTAAAGAATTAAACTAATTTTTCTTTACTAATTGAAGTAAAAAAAAAAAACCTAATTTACCTCAATTGAGAGAGACAGAGAGATATTGTCCTTTTTTCTAGTTTACACCACAAAAATGGGACATCTTCCTCTACACATAATAAAGACTGCACATATTTATGTGTGAAGTGTCTTAATGCTCTGCTGTATGTGTCTGTTTTTCACAAACAAGTTCTTAATCTGTGTTTCTCTTTGAAAGACAATGAGGCTTTTTCTAGAATATCATTTATCATACATGTGCCTCAGGTGTTAGTCTGTTGCTCAAATGCTTGCCATGTTAATTCCTAAGGGAATTCAATATATAATTACAGAGGGAGTAAAGAGGCCATCCATTTCCTGCCACTTAACTATGATTGAGAGATATGCAACATCTCTATTATAATTCTTTTTAAAAAAGACTTTAAAAAATTAGCACTTATTGCTGTTGCTTTCTTTTTCCTTCTCCAAATTGTAGGTGAATGGAGTGAGGCCCTTTACCCATTGCTGACAACACTCACAGATTGTGTGGCCATGATGAGCGACAAGGCGAAGAAAGCAATGGTGTTTCTCCTGATGCAAGACAGTGCCCCTACCATAGCTCTTTGCTTGAGCCTTCAGTACCGAAGGGATGTTGTCTTTTGCCAGACTGTAAGCAAGAAAGTGATGTGTATTTGTTAGACTTGGGATCTGTGTGGTAAAGATAAACTTTAGAAAGACTGCATATAGTCTATGCCTGCCAGACACAGTATTTCACCAGGTTTGGTTGCTGGTCCACCCACAGTCCCAGCTGGCGCCTTCAAGATAGTTGGAAAACACCTTTAGGATTTAGGACCACTATGCCTCAGAGATTCCTTCCTCCCACCTTAACTTGCCCAGCCATCAAAAACTTCCTCATTGGTTCCATTATTATTGGAGTGTACAGTAACTGAGATGGGACACTGAGCACAACATCCTCCTTTAAAATAGCAACAGAAAATAACCAGATAATTAATTCACTATCATTCCATTAAATAGCTGCAGCGTAAACAGGTTTTTCAATAATTGGATGGTGAAACATAGTGAAAAGGAAACTTGTTCTTTTAATTGAGCTTGTTGTTGTTGCTGTTAGTTGCGAAGTCATGTCCAACCCACCGTGACCCCATGGAAAACATTCCTCCAGGCCTTCCTGTCCTCCACCATCCCCCAGAGTCCACTTAAGCTCACACTCACTGCTTCAGTGACTCCACCTCATTCTCTGCCATCCCCCTCTTTTGCCATCTATTGTTCCCAGCATTAGGCTCTTCTCCAGGGAGTCCTTCCTTCTCATTAGGTGGCCAAAGTATTTGAGTTTCATCTTCAGTATCTGGCCTTCTAAAGAGCAGTCAGGGTTGATCTCTAGGACTGACCGGTTTGATCGCTTTGCAGTCCAAGGGACTTGCAGGAGTCTCCTCCAGCACCACAATTCAAAGGCCTCAATCCTTTTGCGCTCAGCCTTCCTTATGGTCCAGCTTTCACAGTCATACATTGCAACTGGGAAAACCATAGCCTTGACTATACGCACTTTTGTTGGCAGGGTGATGTCCCTGTTTTTTAGTATGCTGTCTAGCTTTGTCATAGCTTTCCTCCCCAGGAGCAAGTGTCTTTTAATGTCTTGGCTGCAGTCCCCATCTGCGGTGATCTTGGAGCTCAGGAAAATAAAATCTGCCACTACCTCCATCTCTTCCCCATCTATTTGCCAGGAAGTGAGAGGACTGGATGCCATTATCTTAGTTTTCTTAATGTGGAGTTTCAAGCCAACTTTTGCACTCTCTTCCTTCTCCTGTATCAAGAGGCTCTTTAGTTCCTCTTCACTTTCTGCCTATAGGTAATTGAGCTTACAGAGTGGTAAAATATCTGTCTGGGAGTCTTTTAAAATATTAAAGAAATACCACTGACATGAAAGAGTATGGTCACCACTGTAAGCCGCATTCGTAAAATGAAGCTAACTGGAAAGGTTTTTGTTACTGTTTTTTAAAATTATGATTATTGAATTCTAATGTTATAGCAATATAACTCTCTTTCATCTAAAGAATATCTCAGTGTATATTTTTTGAAAAAATCTAGCTGTAAAAATATTTCAGTGCTAGTTAAAAGATATATTGAAAAACACACAGTGGAAAGAGAAACTGGTGGTGACTGCAGTTTCCAAGAGTATGTGCTCAGTTTCAAATGGCCACTCAAGTGGATCGGGCCTTCCACTTTCCTAAACGTAGCAGCTACACCACTCCCAGCAGTATGAAAGGAACCTAACTGTGAACTACAGAAAAAGTGCCATATAACTGCTAGTGTGGAAAATCAGTTGCAGTCCTGCTTGTCTACTAGAAAAGTCCTGCAATCTACTGGAAAAGCAATGATGATTGGAGTTAGGAGACTCCTACCCAGAAGAGGCATGATGTGCTGATATGCGGCCTTTTGAAGCATGGCAAGAGTCTTTAATCAATTCATTTCTGTATTCTCTTGTGCAGCTCACAGCTCTTATCTGTGGCTTCATTATCAAGCTGAGGAACTGTCTGCATGATAATGGATTCCTGAGGCAGCTCTACACCATTGGCCTGCTGGCACAATTTGAAAGCCTTTTGAGTACTTATGGTAAAAAGAAATCACTGCCTGGGGCAAGCACATACTGTCACTTAAGACTTTCTGAATTCCATTCAGTCCAGTGCTTTGGCAAAGTGTTATATAGAAGATTTACAGATGGCTTGTTATTCAACAGCAAAAGCAGGTTTAAAATAGAACCACGGAGCTATGCTATATTAACTTTTAAGTATAGTAGCAGAAGAATGTATTCGTATGTTGATGAACTTTGTCCAAACGCAGAAACTGTGCAATTGACTCTGTGTATACCTTGAACCAGCAAAGCAGCCTTGCATCATGCCACCTAATTAAGCAGTTCCTGAACTTGGCAAAGTTTCAAACTGTCTGCTGAAGTTCTAGTTTTTTAAAAGTATACCAAGTTTTGTTTCGTATGCACATGTTCTTTTAGGAAGCACTGAAAATCAAGTTCTGGATTATGTTCTTATTTTACATAGTGACAACATTTTACTTAAGGTAGCCAATTTCAACCCTGTAAGAGGAGTTGAGAAAGTAAGGTGGGAAAGTCAACTAGATTCCAACTCTTTGGAAATAAGACTGCTTAACGTTCTTTGAAATAATCCTTAATTTGAATTTGGTCAAAAAATTCAAAAACAGTTAATTTGGCTTTTTTCAGTATTCCCAAATGATCAGTGATGGTCTCATTGGGTTGTCAAGTTCAAACAAGGTGTAATAATACTGAATTCTATCCAGGTATCTGCTTCTGAAGGAAGGAGGTGGAAGCTGATTTCCCCACTGTCTCATCTCCCTGCCATTCCCCAGAAATGCTTCCCCAAAGATCAGGTCATTGTGCTTGAGTGAGGTAGGTTGTGTCCCTGG